TTCGAAAATGAAATTCATGCTTGGGATTAGGTGTATACGCACCTGCATCTTCATGGACAGGTCTTTCCAAAGAAGGCACTCTGAGGTAGCGGCGTGTAGAGCAAGTAGACCACGTAGATCAAAGAAATCGCGATAAATAAAGTCGAAATGGAAAGGACATGGTTAGATTAAAAGGTGTTAATTGTTATTGGCGAAATGATTGAAAATGATACAATCCAAAGTTTGTATTAGCAAAATAATTGAATATGATGCAATCCAAAGTTATCGTGCCCTTGTCCCTCACGAACATCAATTGTTTGTTGCAGATTGCGCAACACTTTGCGTGTGGAGAGCGGTATACACATATATCCATATGTCTTCATAAGGAAGGTGACACTTCTGGGTTGCCGACGCGTGGAACAAATAGAGCAAGGACAGTATAACTTTGGAGTGTTAAAAAGTGAAGATAACTGCACTTCAATTGAAACATGGATACCACGAAATGAAATGGACACAAATCGATTGTATTCTTGTTCTTCCACAAATCCGTTTAAAATGAACGTTTATTAGTTGTCTATGGACGAAGGGCAGAATTCGCCAAAAACTGAGATTCCGACGCGTAGAACACGTAGGTCAGGTGGTTGAGATAGAACGCAGTGATGAAAAACAGTAAATGGATTGATTAAATCACAGTTATATAACACTTAAGCCAGTGTGTTGCAGTACCGTGAGCCATATAGAGTAGAACAACGGACGTAAACTAAGCTGGAGAACTGAATATAATCAATTACGGAAAACAAATATCACACTGCGAGCCAGGCGTTTTGGGTGGGATGTTGCAGAAAACGTTTGAACAGTTGCAAAGTTGCACTTGGAATGAAAAGCACAAAACCAAAATGCAGCTACGACGGCTTCTTTTCAGTCAAACGGTGTCAATTGTTGTCAGGTCCATTTGTGTCCAAAACTGTTGATCTTGAAGACGTTGTTGTGCCAAATTGGATTCCACTGTCATGATGCGATCCATGAGATACACTATGGGTCCTGCATGATCAACACTCTGAGCTTCCAATCTATATTCTCCTACAATGCCTTTGACAGTCAACGATAGTCCGGATGGTGAAGTAGGCGTACGTCTTTCCGCATGTTCAGCTGGCAACGTGATGGGAACCGGTGATACTCCTGATTTTGCTGAGGACTCCGCGATAGGTTATATCTTGGGGGTTGCTTGGTGAGGTCCATGTTCAACTGTACGTGAAGGATGTGAGGGGGGAGGTGAAGGAAGGGGACCGGGCGGAGTCTGTAGAACTGGTGCATGTCCGGGAAATGGTGAAAATGCAGGTGTCGCCCGTGGTACAAATGGAGCTGCTGCACACGGTGAAGACAGTGATACCATCGGTTGTGACGGAAGATACGCAACGGTAGCACTCAACGGCGGTCCATTGGCAGCTTTGCTTCTTGCATGGAGTTCGTCCATATCGCGAAAAAGTCTGCTGAACGCGAAAGAAGAAATGAGTTGTTCAAGAATTGTCAGTACATTTAGCGCATGGTGTGTTATGACGAATGACGTGTAGAAATGAAAAGCAACAAATTGACTTAACATGTCAAAGAGCTTGCTATGAGCCAAGGGAATGCATTACCCAGATTGAAAACGCATCAAAATCATGTATCAACTTGCGCATGATCGAAAACATGAATCAAGATCGTACACACATCTGCAGCGATAAGGTCCCTACCGTGTTTGACATTCTGCTTGGTTTGAGCATCACAAACTATGTGTGTCCGCACACTTTTGTGATAGGTCTTCCTATATTCTAGATCTCTTCAAATTGATCTCTTGTCCTCACAATTGTAAATTGATTTGAAAGAGAAGATGAAAACTCATAAAATGACAGTAAGAAGTAGGGTTCCCGGCCAATAAAATCCTTCGGCACATGGCCACCTTCGCCCTATGGGCACCATTCGCCCGTTGGGCACCCCCTTCACATGGAAGGCAAATTCTGAAAGACTGCGTGTAGAGCAAGTAGACCACGTAGATCGAAGAAATCGCGATAAATAAAGTCGAAATGGAAAGGACATGGTTAGATTAAAAGGTGTTAATTGTTATTGGCGAAATGATTGAAAATGATGCAATCCAAAGTTTGTATTAGCGAAATAATTGAATATGTTGCAATCCAAAGTTATCGTGCCCTTGTCCCTCACGAACATCAATTGTTTGTTGCAGATTGCGCAACACTTTGCGTGTGGAGAGCGGTATACACATATATCCATATGTCTTCATAAGGAAGGTGACACTTCTGGGTTGCCGACGCGTGGAACAAATAGAGCAAGGACAGTATAACTTTGGAGTGTTAAAAAGTGAAGATAACTGCACTTCAATTGAAACATGGATACCACGAAATGAAATGGACACAAATCGATTGTATTCTTGTTCTTCCACAAATCCGTTTAAAATGAACGTTTATTAGTTGTCTATGGACGAAGGGCAGAATTCGCCAAAAACTGAGATTCCGACGCGTAGAACACGTAGGTCAGGTGGTTGAGATAGAACGCAGTGATGAAAACAGTAAATGGATTGATTAAATCACAGTTATATAACACTTAAGCCAGTGTGTTGCAGTACCGTGAGCCATATAGAGTAGAACAACGGACGTAAACTAAGCTGGAGAACTGAATATAATCCATTACGGAAAACAAATATCACACTGCGAGCCAGGCGTTTTGGGTGGGATGTTGCAGAAAACGTTTGAACAGTTGCAAAGTTGCAATTGGAATGAAAAGCGCAAAACCAAAATGCAGCTACGACGGCTTCTTTTCAGTCAAACGGTGTCAATTGTTGTCTGGTTTTTTTGTGTCCAAAACTGTTGATCTTGAAGACGTTGTTGTGCCAAATTGGATTCCACTGTCATGATGCGATCCATGAGATACACTATGGGTCCTGCATGATCAACACTCTGAGCTTCCAATCTATATTCTCCTACAATGCCTTTGACAGTCAACGATAATCCGGATGGTGAAGTAGGCGTACGTCTTTCCGCATGTTCAGCTGGCAACGTGATGGGAACCGGTGATACTCCTGATTTTGCTGAGGACTCCGCGATAGGTTATATCTTGGGGGTTGCTTGGTGAGGTCCATGTTCAACTGTACGTGAAGGATGTGAGGGGGGAGGTGAAGGAAGGGGACCGGGCGGAGTCTGTAGAACTGGTGCATGCCCGGGAAATGGTGAAAATGCAGGTGTCGCCCGTGGTACAAATGGAGCTGCTGCACACGGTGAAGACAGTGATACCATCGGTTGTGACGGAAGATACGCAACGGTAGCACTCAACGGCGGTCCATTGGCAGCTTTGCTTCTTGCATGGAGTTCCATATCGCGAAAAAGTCTGCTGAACACGAAAGAAGAAATGAGTTGTTCAAGAATTGTCAGTACATTTAGCGCATGGGGTGTTATGACGAATGACGTGTAGAAATGAAAAGCAACAAATTGACTTAACATGTCAAAGAGCTTGCTATGAGCCAAGGGAATGCATTACCCAGATTGAAAACGCATCAAAATCATGTGTCAACTTGCGCATGATCGAAAACATGAATCAAGATCGTACACACATCTGCAGCGATAAGGTCCCTACCGTGTTTGACATTCTGCTTGGTTTGAGCATCACAAACTATGTGTGTCCGCACACTTTTGTGATACTCATAAAATGACAGTAAGAAGTAGGGTTCCCGGCCTTTTAATATCCTTCGGCACATGGCCACCTTCGCCCTATGGGCACCATTCGCCCGTTGGGCACTCCTTCGGCTTATGCCACCCTTCAATTGTCCTTGACCCCCCTTCGGCTATTGCCATCACTTCTAGCAGCCCCTATGGCTACTCGCTCAACTTCTGCCTCCGTAGAGGGCGGATTCGGCACACTATGCCAAGATTGTTCTTCCCCATTAGGGATGATAAGGTCATGGTCTGTATAGGACACATGACTAATGCACACTGTTGATTTTTTGGAAGTGAACTGCAATGACGATGTGGTTGTACACGCCTGGTAGAATTCCTGAGTCCATCATCCTTGATAAACAGGTGAAACCAGGTCCAAATCATTAATCAGCAAGGTGGTTCTTGGGTTAGCCACATCCCATCGCGGAAAAGGAAAGACATGATTAGGCAGGTACGTCGATCCAGCGTCCCGGATCGATATCACAGAATGTCATAGCTGTCTTCGTTGGCTGCAGAACTATGACATTCCCTGCAGCCCCCTGCTGTTAAGTAGTCTTTGGCGCATGAATTCGGAAAACATAACGTGCATAGTCTTTGGCGCATGAATTCGGAAAACATAACGTGCATAGTCATCAAATGTCCAGTCATCAAATGTCCAGTTGTAGTTTTCTGCATGTGAATAGCAGTGTACACACACACTCTGGTGACATTCATTGACACACTCAACGCATCCTCTCAGTCTCATAGGAAGTTCTCTTCCGTTCGCCTGGGAGACTCGAGCATGCGAAAGCTTGAAAAAACCCGCAGCTGCTGGAGAATGTGAGTGGCAACCCCAAGTGTGTCCAGTCAACGCAATACACATCAGGGAAGCTAGCCACGCTTCATTTCACGTTTCTCTGAACAAAGTCTTGAAAAAATGTTTGTGCAGGTAGCACCTCGTATCTGCAACCACGAAATCAGAACCAGGATGTGGAAGTATGGGTCGCGAAAACTTGCAACATTTCAGCCCTCGGGACAGTTTCTCGGCGCTACGAATTATAGCAGGGCACGATGCTTGTGATGTAGACTGACAGTTTGTCTCGGCGCCAAATTTACTGGCATTGCGCAACAACCCAGGTCCGTTCTGCTTGATTACTCAGACATGTTTCACACCCGCCCCAACTGCGCAGCTTTTGGCTTGAACAATGTGCCGCAGATATTGCGACGGCAGATAAATCCTCTGTAGTTTCCGCTATGTGGTCATGTTCAGCCATCTGACCCAAGAGCCATCTGTCCAGAATATACCAATGTACAATCATGTACAAGCATTGGCACACGGCACATTTTGGTAGCGAAATTGCGGCCCCATGGTCACTGTCAAGAAGGAGCCTCGACTGAAATGCTGACTGTGTTTCAGCTGTCACTCCTCCAGTTGCACACCTGCAAGGTCAAGGGCAAAGTGGCGAAGAAGAAGAAGAAGGGCGAAAGCGTCCAAGCTAACGGCCAGGGCGGCCAAACACCTTCCGGATCTTCCGGCGCTACTGAGAAGACCCAAACCAGGAACAGTGAGACCAGTGCAGGCCCAAGTTCTGTTCGTGGAACTGCTGAAGAAGTTCATGCTGTGATAAGAAATGGCGCTGAATCTGAAAAAGATGTAGTCTTCATACCAGCTCCAATGGATTTCCAGGTCCTAAAAAGGCCATGAAAAAGTTGATGAAAAAGGCTGGGTTTTTCCCGAGAACGTCTGAGCGCAGGGTTCTTCTAATAGTGGGGGTCTGTGAAACATCTTCTCATCTCTTCTCATCTTCACATCTTCTCATGAAACATCTTCTCATCTTCACATCCTCACATGTTCACATCTTCTCATTTTCACATCTTCTCATCCTCACATCCTCACATCTTCACATCCTCACATGCTCACATCTTTTCATCTTCACATCTTCACATCCTCACATCTTCACATCCTCACATCTTCTCATCTTCACATCTTCTCATCTTCACATCCTCGCATGTTCACATCTTCTCATCTTCACATCTTCTCATCCTCACATCCTCACATCTTCACATCCTCACATGCTCACATCTTCTCATCTTCACATCTGCTCATCTTCTTATCTTTACATCCTCACATCTTTACATCTGTTCATCTTCACATCTTCACATCCTCACATCTTCACATCCTCACATCTTCTCATCTTCACATCTGCTCATCTTCACATCTTCTTCTCCTCACATCCTCACATCTTCTCATCTTCACATCCTCACATCTTGCCCACTTGCTCTGTTGCCCTCTTGCTCTCTTGCCCTCTTGCTCTCTTGCCCCCCTCTTGCTCTCTTCTTCTTTTCTGTTTCTCTCTTGAAGGCGCGGGGCAGTGCCAACGAGACGGCACGAAACGCAACCGTTTCGCACGAAATGACCAAAAATAGAGGTAAAATTGCAATTTCTCGCTTCCGGGCGCAACCCTTTCGCACGAAATGAGGTTCGATCGGCAAAAACTGAAGTAAAATTTGCGATTTGTAGGTGTCCGGCGCAACCCTCGCACGAAATGAGGTTCGATCGGCAACAACTGAGGTAAAAGTGCGATTTCCAAGTTGTCCGGCGAACCTTTTCGCACGAAATGAGGTTTGATCGCCAAAAACTGAGGTAAAATTGCGATTTCTCTTGTCCGGCGCAACCGTTTCGCACGAAGTGAGGAAATGAGGTTTGATCGCCAAAAACTGAGGTAAAATTGCGATTTCTCTTGTCCGGCGCAACCGTTTCGCACGAAGTGAGGAAATGAGGTTTGATCGCCAAAAACTGAGGTAAAATTGCGATTTCCCTTGTCCGGCGCAACCGTTTCGCACGAAATGACGTTTGATCGCCAAAAACTGAGGTAAAATTGCGATTTCCCTTGTCCGGCGCAACCGTTTCGCACAAAATGAGGTTTGATCGCCAAAAATTGAGGTAAAATTGCGATTTCGTGCTTCCGCCGAACACTTTCGTACGAAACGAGGTTTGATCGCCCAAAGCTGAGGTAAAATTGTGATTTCACGGGTCCGGTCTCTGTGCGTAAACGTGTTTGTATGTAAAAGTGTCTGTGTGTAAAAGTGTCTGTGTGTAAAAGCGTCTGCGTGTAAGAAAATATACGAAAGATACGATGCAAACTATTGTCTTGTGTTTGTGATATATTGTCTCGTCTGCCTATAATACATCTTTCCTATACTGCCTTGTACTATAGTGTTTCCATACTAACAACACAAGACTCTGCTCCTCTACGCTCTCGGGCCATCCGTCGTCTAGTTGTTGAAATGGTTGTGGTTTTGCTTGCGCGTGTGGTGTTTGTGTTTCTTTCCTCCAGGGCTTCCAGAAGATCAAGCCACCCTCCACAAACGCGCCAGGCCACCGGAAAAGCTGCCAAAGTGAGAACAAAGGTGGCAACAGAGAACCTCGGAGCTGCCATGGAAAGCCGTTCTTCTTGTATTTCTGCAAGTGGTGAAGCGGGCCCTCCACAAAGGGTTGATAAGTTACAAGTTAGGCATCACAATGTAGTATGTGGCAACTAAGCAACTGTGACCAGCAAGCTGCGTTCAAGGAACACGAAGAAAGACGACGGATGTGATCTTTGTGAGGGGTTGATCCCATTGGAGGGCGTGCTGCGCTCCTTGGTTGCAAAATGCAAGTTCCGGCAGCAAGAGACATTCACCTCGCTTGCTTTTTCCATTCAGGTTGCCGATCATGCGGACGAACCATGGCCGCAACAGCTTAAAAAACAGCGGGGAGCGGCTTACTGTTGTGCCAGGCGGTTGTCATGTGAAAGCAAACAAATGAGATGGCTGAATAGAACTAAACGGCACCGGTATTCCCCCATACACTGGAAAAGAAAACACGGATGTTGCCGGAGTGAGATTGGCTTTGCATCCCCGACTCAGGGCAGGTTCAGTACACCATCATACATTAGCAGGGCCATTTTTAAGAGTGGGGCGCGGCCGCTATCACATACGTATTTCTTACCTTTTTTGGTTGGTTTCAACTCATGTATTCCAGGTCTGACCAAAGGGACCCAGCCGAAATTAACATATTAAATCAGAACACGAACCACTGTGCGAGAAAATGTCATCCCAGCCCTATCGTTCTGGAGCTCTCTATCAGTTGACATGAGCATTCTGGAAAAGCTTATATGAATCTGGAAAAATATAACCATGGTGCCCGGCCTGGACTTTCTCGGCACACAGGAACGCAGACAGCACAGTCACAAATAAACTTTGGCGGCACATGGGTAGCAATCAAATACTTGTGTGGTTCTTGCTGGAAATTCATTTTGGCTGAGGGGCTCTAGGGTGGTGCAGACCCTGTTCAGACTTTTCAGGAGGCACCCACTCCTTGCAGTTGACGTGGAACAATGTACACACCTTCCCGCTGGCTGAACTTCGAAGTTGGCTCAAAGTAGCCAACAAGCCTGGGCAAACATGTCTGTGAACCAGGCCGTGCTTGAGGCCTTTCAACGCTTCGATTTAGATAAGAATGGTTCGATTAGCTTTGAGGACAGGGGGCCAGGGAGCAGCGGGCAGGAGGGCCAGGGGGAGCTTCCAAACACATACAAGTTAAGTAGGAGGCCAGCAACAATGAGCAGCGTAATTGCTCATTGGTGTGTGCGAAATAGATTGGTATTTACCATTTCCCGTCCTTGCCCGCTATTACCCAAGGCTGTGCACACTTGCTCTGTCTTGTTCTCTTCATCTTTCCAAGGCCAGCTGCAGGCCATGGCACATGTCACCAGGAGGAAAGGTACCAGACCAAGTTGGGGAAGACTTGCTGTCCGCATTCGGCACCGTTTTTCTTTGCTGGCCTAATTTGCTTTGACGGCGGCTCCTGCTCCTTTATTTTGACGCCATTTAGCAAACTCCATCGCGATAGTAAGCTAGAAGCCTTTCGAGCATGTTGTGGTATTGTGGAGGGTTGAAGCGGCTTCCTTGTTGGGCCAGGAGCTTGTTCAAGTACTGAAGCTCTTAGACGAAGACGCGTGGGACGATGCCAACATCAACGCATTGCTCGCACGGGCCGACAGCAACGGCGACGGCGCGCTGCAGGTGGTTGAATTTTTGAACTGGATCCTTGGACCAGTTTGGATTGGATCAAATGATCAAAGCGTGCCCAGGGCCAAGTTGAGGGCCGACATGTGACAAGAAACAAATGGGGGCTTCCAGCCGGACAGCGCCTGAGAATCTGCGGCTTGGTCAAGGCAAAGGCTTGTGGACAAGATGGGCGGCCGACCAAGTGCTAGAGACTTAGATAACTTGAAAAACGCAAGCAAAGAAAAATTTATGATATTCAGAATGCAGGAGCCAACGAAATTAGAGCGTAAAAATTGTCCAGCTGGCGCCGACGCGCAGTCAAAAATTCGGTTCCTTGAGTTTGCCTCTTTCACACCTGTGCTTCTGGTGGTTGCAATTTGGTCTTCACCCCAGGGACATGTGTAGCACATGACTTCAAAGCCCCTACGTGGGAAGGACATCTGCGTAATGAAAAATGTCCGGCGGGATCCTGATCCACAGGGCCTATCTGGTATGGACAACGTTACGAGCTCTACCAGCCCACGTAGTTTTTGCCGGATGCGTAGCAAGGGTTCCCGTTTCACTCTGGGGGACTAGGGTTGAGGGTGTGTTCGCTCGACGTTGCGTTTACGTTCGCAACCGTTCGCAACCGTTCGCAACCGTTCGTGCGAGGTCGCTATGGCCGTGCCTATGCGAGTTCTGCAAAAGGGTCACTTTTGGAGGTTCCAAACGTCGCGTAGCTTCGTTTCGCGTGGCAGGCGTGGCACTTTGTGACATTCCAACCTGTTTGATAATGTGTCGACAGTCGTTTTGTGTGGCAGGCGCAATACTTTTGCGTCGTTTTCACAAGATGAGTTGCACTTTTCGTGGCAGGCGCAGCACTTTGGAGACCTCCATCGTCATTTTGCGTGGCAGGCGCAGCACTTCAGACGTGTCGTGCTGCGTGAATCGCATTGTCAGGGCTGCGTCACACGCTGACAATGCGCAAATTCCGTGGCAGGCGTGGCATTGTGTGAGACGTGATGAAAATGGACGGAAGCCTCGCACGAAACATCGATTTTGAGGTAGCAAATTTAGAGGTTCCTAAGAAAACTCGTAGGAAAACGTCGATTTTGGAGCTACAAAGCACGAAATTTTGAGGAAGTCTCTCACGAAACGCTCGTGTTGAGGCTCCAACATGTCTCGTCTCGGGTCTCTGGTTTTCTTCTGCCGTCGCCGTGTCTATGGGGGAAGCTGCAAAACCTCTCCTTTTCCTCCGCTTTCCAAACCCTTGTAATGTCATTTTGCGTGGCAGGCGTGGCGCTTCGTGTCTGCAAAAATGCCGAAAGCCGTTTTGTGTGGCAGGGGCCATGCTTTCGCGCTGTTGTCAGAAGATGAGTTGCATTTTTCCGGGCAGGCGCAGCACTTTGGACACGCCCATCGTCATTTTGCGTGACCCGCGCAACAGTTTAAAAGTTTGCCGCTACGTGTTTTGTGAGAATCGGATTGTCAAGGTTGCTTCAAGTGGTGACAACGCGCAAAGCGCGTGACAGGCCTCTCATGTTGTGACATGCAATGACACTCCGCCCTGTACACTCCACACTTTACACTCTACACTCTACACTTCACGCACTACATTCCAGACTCCGCACTTTACACTTCATCCATTACACTCTACACTCCACACTTTACACTTTACAGTCCACACTTTGCACTTCACCCTCTACACTCTACACTCCACACACTACATTCCACACTCCACACTTTGCACTTTACACTCCACACTCTACACTTTACACACTACACTCTACACTCCAGACTTTACACTTTACACTCTACACTTTACACTTTAAACTCCACACTCTACACTCCGCACTCTACACTCTACTCTCCCTGCATTCCACACTTTACACCCCACCCTCCACACTTTACACTTTAAACTCCACACTCCACACTCTGCACTCCACACTTTACACTTTACACTCCACACTCTACACTCGACACTCCACACTCTACACTCCACACTCTACACTCTACACTCCACACTCTACACTTTACATTCCACACACTACATTCCACACTCCACACTTTACACTCCACACTCACACTTTACACTTCACACTCCACACTTTACACTTTACACTCCACTCTTTACACTCCACACTTTACACTTTACACTCTACACTCCATACTTTACACTCCACACTTTACACTCTACACTTTACACGTCACACTCTACACTCCACACTCTACACTCCGTACTTTACACTTGACACTCCACGCCCTCTTACACTCCACACTCCACAATCCCCACTCCACACTCTACACTTTACATTCCACACACTACATTCCACACTCCACACTTTACACGCCACACTCACACTTTACACTTCACACTCCACACTTTACACGTTACACTCCACTCTTTACACTCCACACTTTACTTTTTACACTACACTCCATACTTTACACTCCACACTTTACACTCTACACTTTACACGTCACACTCTACACTCCACACTCTACACTCCGTACTTTACACTTGACACTCCACGCCCTCTTACACTCCACACTCCACAATCCCCACTCCACACTCTACACTTTACATTCCACACACTACATTCCACACTCCACACTTTACACTCCACACTCACACTTTACACTTCACACTCCACACTTTACACGTTACACTCCACTCTTTACACTCCACACTTTACTTTTTACACTACACTCCATACTTTACACTCCACACTTTACACTCTACACTTTACACGTCACACTCTACACTCCACACTCTACACTCCGTACTTTACACTTGACACTCCACGCCCTCTTACACTCCACACTCCACAATCCCCACTCCACACTCTACACACTACATTTCCCACTCAACACTTTCTAGCTTCTTCACATCCCGCACTTTGCACTGCACCCGCTTCCGGACCCCACATTCTACAGTGCACTGGTATGGTAACAGGGGAAAATGCACAAGACTGTTCAAATCACTTGTTTCACAACGGTGTGTTACGTGACTGCATTCGGGTTCGTGGGCTGCATCTTGTGTTGAAGGCGGAAGTTTAGGTTTTGGGCCATTCAGCAAATGCGCGTTTCCCTTTTTGGATGCCTTCTAACTTTGGCTGGAATTGGAAATTCGCAAAATAGGAAGGGTTGGTTACCCGTTGAGACTGTTGCTGCCGACTGTGTCACCCCGGCTTTCACGCACAGTGCATGCTTCATAAGACGCAAAAGGCCAAGGTGATTCCGGAAATCTCGCAGGAAGTACTGTTGGCCCCCTTTGCTTCAAAGGAAGATACGTCTCGAAATTTGCTATGTCTAGGCTGGACGGACCATTCTGAGAAAACATGCTTTAGATATTTGATTGCCATGGTCCGCCAGGAGGGTCTTGTATGTTTGACTCTGTTGGGATTGTTGCGGTCCGCTGGTGTCAAGAGAATTATGAACATGTCGGCCTCCAATCTGTTGCAATAAGCTTGTCATAGCTCTCACGCCGCCGCAGCCACTTGCAATGCCTTGGCAAAACAAGGATCTTTGCAGAAAACGCCAACACCTTCGATCTAGGCAAGAACTTTGAAGGACGGGCCCGGATAGCTCATGCTTTGCCAGGGAGAGTTGACAATAACAAGCCCTGTTTGACAAGCATGTCTCAAGGTAGAAACTACCAAAACGTCCAGGGCTCCTACAGGTACATGAGCGCCGCTCCACGAGCTTTCCTTGTAACACTTTGCTTTCATGTTTCGTCCACACCATATTTCCAAAACTGTTCCGAGTTTTTCCCTTCCCAGGAACCGTGGCCACCTCACTGGTGGTCTCTGGCTGCTCGCGCGACATCAACGGCACTTACGTCCAGAAGCTGGGCAGTAGAGACTTGGCCAAATATGGGTCTCGCGGCAGTTCAAAAGAGTAATGCTGATTACAGCTTATTTATATCTATTTGTCTATCTGTTTGTTTGTCTGTCTGTCTATCCATTTGTTTGTCAATCTGTCTATCTATCTGTCTGTCTGTCTATCTATTTGTCTGCCTATCTATTTATCTGTCTGTCTGAGTCTATCTATTTGTTTGTCTATCTGTCTATCTATCTGTCTGTCTGTCTATCTATTTGTCTGCCTATCTATCTATCCATCTATCTGTCAATCTGCCTCTCTGTTTGTTTGTCTACCTATCTACCTGTCTGTCACTGTCTGTCTCCCTATCTATCTGTCTGTCTGTCTGCCTGTCTGTCTGTCTGTGTCCGTCTGTCTATCTATCTATCCATCTATCTATCTGTCTGTCTATCTGTCTATCTGTCTATCTGTCTATCTATCTCTCGATCTATCGATCTATCTATCTAGGAGTTCTGCACACAGATTCACTTTGCTCGATGCATCGCCTATAGGCAGCTTGCAGGATTTGCACTCACGTGGCCATTCGGGCGGTTTTACTTGTAAACCCCGGGCTGAAAGTCGGCGCCGGCATTGACTGAGGCTACAATCACCGCCCCATCTTCTATTGCGCCGCTAGCAAGCGTGGCTTTGCTGAGAAGCCGCTGCGTTTTAAATATTTTTAGAAGGTTGAAGCATCATTCACTAGGTGGCGGGGCCAATGTCTTGATGCACCCCCAAAGCTGAAGTGAAAGGGCTGCAGATTTTTTTGCAAGCCATCCAAAGTTTGCAGACGGCGCATGGCTCATGCATCCACGCTCGCTCCTGCCCATCACTTTGTTCGTTTTGATCTGCAGTCTCGGTTTCGATATGCAGTCTCTTTGTTCCGCTTTTGAGAGTCCGGCCGCCGGCCGTCTTTAGACCATTAGAAATAACATGCGGTCGGGCTTAAACCTATGATAAGTAAAACCCGCACGAGGCGGGCGGCGGAAGTTTCCAGGATTAAAGATTGTTACGCTATAGGATACAAAAAGAAGGTTTGCCTATAGGAGATGCAGCGAAACTTCACAGCTTCTCAACTCTTCTCACGACTTCTCACTTCGTGTCACCTCTTCTCAACGACCCTCATCTCTGCGCATCTCGTCAAGGCTCTCCTCAACTCTCTTTTCATCTCTCTTCCCTCTTCTCAACTCTTCTCAGCTCGTGCCTTTCCCTTCGCTCGATCCCTTTGGCCCGTTCAATTTGCGTTCATCTTATTACCAGGGAACTATAACATCGGTGCAACTATCCATAACTCTCTCACATCTTCTTCGATCGTTTTACTATTCAATTCTACAGGATCACTGCTTCCCATCGCTTCATCCATGCTTCATCCAAACCGCATTCCCAATCGTTCCAGCTTTCAACATTTGCACCCCTTCTTGCATTCTCCAAGCATCATGTACTTTCATTCAAACCTAGTTGACTGTGGTACCAACGTTCAACAACGCTGCAGCCGCAGCATTTTGTCCCGTGCCGTCACGTCCCGTGGCGCGTTGATGGCACCTGTCAGGTGCACGCCCTTTGCATGTCGGTCACGCAGGCAACAGCCGTGCTCGTCAGAGTCGCTCTGTCAGAGCTCCAAGCTGTCAGTTCTGCATTCCAGCCTGCGCAGCGTGTCTGGAAATCGCGCATCTGCGGGCATGTTCGGAAAGAATTGGTCGATGCGCGGCTCTTCCAGGCGCGGCGGCCACAACAAGGGATTTGTGTTTTGCAACTCGGTCTCTGCAGATCGCAGTGGAATGGCTGCGTCAAGGTTCCTCAAAAGCTACTTGTTCTTGAGTCATTTGCTGCGATTCTGATTGTGTTTTGCAAGTTGTTGGCAGATCGCATTGGAACTGCAACATCAAGGATGTGATTTGAATGTTAGGATCTGCACGAAACATTGTTTTTTCGGGTAAACGGAGGTTCCGTCGCGGAGAAAAGTTGGCTCGCTTGCGCAACGGGCGCGGGCTCCCTCGGTTTGCCGTCGAATCTTTCTGGAACTGCGCGCGCACTGTAACTGAGGTGTCCAGGTGGCTTTTTCCCGAGAGCGTCTGAGCGCAGGGTTCTTCCAATAGTGGGGGTCTGTAAAACATCTTCTCATCTTCACATCTTCTCATCTTAACATCTTCTTATCCTCACATCTTCTCCTCATCCCTCATCTTCTCATCTTCACATCTTCTCATCTTCACATCTTCTCATCTTCACACCTTCCCATCTTCACATCTTCTCATCTTCACATCTTCTCATCTTCACATCTTCTCATCCTCACATCTTCTCCTCATCTTCTCATCTTCACATCTTCTCATCTTCACATCTTCTCATCTTCACATCTTCTCACATCTTCACATCTTCTCACATCTTCACATCTTCTCACATCTTCTCACATCTTCTCACATCTTCTCACATCTTCTCACATCTTCACATCTTCTCATCTCACATCTTCTCCTCTTGCCCTCTTGCCCTCTCCTTCTTTTCTATTTCTCTTTTGAAGGCGGGAGCAGGGGCAGTGCCAACGAGACGGCACGAAACGCAACCCTTTCGCACGAAATGAGGGTCGATCGTCAAAAACTGAGGTAAAATTGCGATTTTACTTGTCCCGGAGCAACCCTTTCGCACGAAATGAGGGTCGATCGTCAAAAACTGAAATAAAATTGCGATTTTACTTGTCCCGGAGCAACCCTTTCGCACGAAATGAGGGTCGATCGTCAAAAACTGAGGTAAAATTGCGATTTTACTTGTCCCGGAGCAACCCTTTCGCACGAAATGAGGGTCGATCGTCAAAAACTGAGGTAAAATTGCGATTTTACTTGTCCTGGAGCAACCCTTTCGCACGAAATGAGGGCCGATCGCCAAAAACTGAGGTAAAATTGCGATTTTACTTGTGCTGGAGCAACCCTTTCGCACGAAATGAGGGTCGATCGTCAAAAACTGAGGTAAAATTGCGATTTTACTTGTGCCGGACTTGTCTGTGTGTAAAAGCGCCTGTGTGTAAAAAGCGTCTGTGTGTAAAAGCGTCTGTGTGTAAAAGCGTCTGTGTGTAAAAGCGTCTGTGTGTAAATCTCTGGTGTAAAAGCTTCTCTGTGTAAAAGCGTCACATGTGTAAAAGCGTCTGTGGTGTAAAAGCGTCTGTGGGTAAAAGAGTCTGTGTGTAAAACCGTCTGTGTGTGAAAGCGTCTGTGGTGTAAAAGCGTCTGTGGGTAAAAGAGTCTGTGTGTAAAACCGTCTGTGTGTAAAGCGTCTGTTGTGTAAAAGCGTCTGTGTGTAAAACCGTCTGTGTGTAAAAGCGTCTGTGTGTAAAAGCGTCTGTGTGTAAAAGCCTCTGTGTGTAGAAGCGTCTGTGTGTAAAAGCGTCTGTGTGTAAAAGCTGTGTGTAAAAGCGTCTGTGTGTGTAAAAGTCTCTGTGTGTAAAAGCGTCTGTGTGAAAGCCTCTGTGTGTAAAAGCGTCTGTGTGTAAAGCGTCTGTGTGTAAAAGCTTCTGTGTGTAAAAGCGTCTCTGTGTGTAAAAGTCTCTGTGTGTAAAAGCGTCTGTGTGTAAAAGCGTCTGTGTGTAAAAAGCGTCTGCGTGTAAAACGCGTCTGTGTGTAAAAGCGTCTGTGTGTAAAAAGCGTCTGCGTGTAAAAAGCGTCTGTGTGCAAAAGCGTCTGTGTGTAAAAGCGTCTGTGTGTAAAAGGGTCTGTGTGCAAAAGCGTCTGTGTGTAAAAGCTTCTGTGTGTAAAAGCCCCTGTGTGTAAAAAGCGTCTGTGTGTAAAAGCGTCTGTGTGTAAAAGCGTCTGTGTGTAAAAGCGCCTGTGTGTAAAAGTCTCTGTGTGCAAAAGCATCTGTGTGTAAAAGCGTCTGTGTGTAAAAGAGTCTGTATGTAAAAGGGTCTGTGTGTAAAGCGTCTGTGTGTAAAAGGGTCTGTGTGTAAAGCGTCTGTGTGTAAAAGTGTTTGTGTGTAAAAGCTTCTGCGTGTAAAAGCTTCTGAGTGTAAAAGCCTCTGTGTGTAAAAGCGTCTGTGTGTAAAAGCGTCTGTGTGTAAAAGCGTCTGTGTGTAAAAGCTTCTGTGTGTAAAAGCCTCTGTGTGTAAACGGGTCTGTGTGTTAAAGCGTCTGTGTGTAAAAGCGTCTGTGTGTAAAAGCGTCTGTGTGTAAAAGCGCTTGTGTGTAAAAGCGTCTGTGTGTAAAAGTCTCTGTGTGTAAAAGCGTCTGTGTGTAAAAGCGTCTGTGTGTAAAAGCGTCTGTGTGTAAAAGTGTCTGTGTGTAAAAGCGTCTGTCTGTAAAAGCTTCTGTGTGTAAAAGCGTCTGTGTGTGTAAAAGTCTCTGTGTGTAAAAGCGTCTGTGTAAAAGCCTCTGTGTAAAAGCGTCTGTGTGTCAAAGCGTCTGTCTGTAACAGTCTCTGCGTGTGAAAGTGTTTGTGTAAAAGCGTCTGTGTGTAAAAGCGTCTGTGTGTGTAAAAGTCTCTGTGTGTAAAAGCGTCTGTGTGTAAAAGTCTCTGCGGGTAAAAGCCTCTGCGGGTAAAAGCCTCTGTGTGTAAAAGAGCCTGTGTGTAAAAAGCGTCTGTGTGTAAAAGCGTCTGTGTGTAAAAGAGCCTGTGTGTAAAAAGCGTCTGTGTGTAAAAGCGTCTGTGTGTAAAAGCGTCTGTGTGTAAAAGGGTCTGTGTGTAAAAGCGTCTGTGTGTAAAAGCTTCTGTGTGTAAAAGCGTCTGCGTGTAAAAAGCGTCTGTGTGTAAAAGCGTCTGTGTGTAAAAGCGTCTGTGTGTAAAAGAGCCTGTGTGTAAAAAGCGTGTCTCCATACTAACAACAGAAGACTCCGCTCCTCTACGCTCTCGGGCCATCCGTCGTCTAGTTCTCTTTTGCGGTTGACGCTGTGCTATTGTGCTTTGCAATTCAGCCTGTGCAGATCGCAGTGGAATGGCTGCGTCAAGGTTCCTCGCTGCTGTGGCTGCGCGCAGAATACTTTTTGTCTTTTGCAGCTGAGAATCGTAAATTGTATTGTGGTGGCTGCATGAAGGTTGCGAAGGCATGGTGCTTTGGCGGCAATTTGTTCTCCATTTTGGCGCTGATGATTTTCCTTCTGAAATTCCTTTCAGAAAGCGCTTTTAAAAGCATTTTTTCTGCTTTGGCGCCGAGATCCGGTTTTGGAACGACAATTTCTCATGCTGCTGCGCGTAGTTCTAGAATGTTTTGCAACTCAACTCGGCCTCTGCAGATCGCAGTGGAATGGCGACGTCAAAGCATGCATAATACTATGATCTTTTGCAGCTGAGAATCCTAAATCGTATTGTAATTCAACCGAGCGCTGGACGGTGGCCGCCGAATTTGCGAGCCTTGTCCTTTGGCCATGAGTTCAATCAATCGCCGCACACGGCCAATCTCCGGAACCAACTCGAAACCTTGACGTTGGGACTTCTCTACCCTACGCTGCTCTACCCTACTTAAAACCTGCCCTGCTCTACTCTACTCTTCTCTACTCTACTCGATTCTACTCTAGTCTGCTCTTCTCTACTCTACCTCTACTCTATCTTTACGCTACCCCTTCTCTACTTCACGCAGGTGCCCACTGGACACAACGATCTTTGGGCTAGTGAGAATGCGACTTACTGATCTCTTAAAGCAGGTGCCAACTGGACACAATGATCTGTGGGCTAGCGAGAATGTGACTTACTGATTAAGCTCGTGAGAATGTGGGCTAATGATTTCTCAAGGCAGGTGCCAACTGGACACAATGATCTGTGGGCTAGTGAGAATGTGACTTACTGATCTCTCAAAGCAGGTGCCAACTGGACACAATGATCTTTGGGCTAGTGAGAATGTGGTTTAACGATCTCTCAACCGAGGTGCCAACTGGACACCGTTATCTTTGGGCTAGTGAGAATAAAACCATCCGTAACTCGGAGTTTCTCTACGAAACTTGCTTTGATGATTGGCACTGCATTTCCAAGTTTGGCCCTCTTGTTGGAAATGTCCAAAGAATTGGACCTTGAACCTGCCCAGTGCCACAGCTGTGCACAGGGCATCTTTTCTACCACCGCGGCTACGGTCAATGGTCAATCTTCTGGAAGCCAAGTCAAAAGGCCACGGCCCGGCTAAAGACCCAGCGTGCGCCGCACATGGCTGAAGAAAGCTGGGAGGTCCTCGGATTGATTTTGGCTGGGTGCAACCATGCAATCGGAGCTATAACTCAACTTTTTTCCCCGTGATCAGAAGGACCAGGCGACAAGCCGTATAAGAGTGGATGCATGATATATCTTTCCCTCAACAGGGTGGCCACACTGCAGGGTTCTTACGGTACCAGTTAAGGCCCGGTGTTCAATCGAGGTGTTATCGGAAGCGTCCGGCATTTTCCCTGGAAATTTCCGCGCAAAATGCCTCTTGTGACATGTCCATGTGCATTTCGACTGCGCAGGCTCGCACAAAATGCTGGCCGCGGGACACGCGCACGGCATTTTCCCTGTAAATTTCCGCGCAAAATGCCTTCTGTCACATGTCCATGTGCATTTCGATTGCGCAGGCTCGCACAAAATGCTGGCCGCGGGACACGCGCACGGCATTTTCCCTGTAAATATCCACACAAAATGCCTCTTGTGACATGTCCATGTGCATTTCGACAGCGCAGGCTCACACTCAACATCATCCTCAACATCCACATCATCCTCATCCTCATCATCATCACCATCATCATCATCACCACCATCATCATCATCACCATCATCATCACCATCATCATCATCACCATCATCATCACCGTCATCAACATCATCATCACCATCATCATCATCGTCATCAACATCATCATCATCTACGTTAACATCATCATCAACATCATCACCAACATTAACATCATCAACAACACTATAATACATGATCTTTCTTTCTCACCCCCACACTGTTTGGGGTCTCTTGCCGGGTTAATTTCTTCCATCACTTCTGCGCATTATACAGGCTTGGGTTGCAAAAATCTCATTCAGCTAAGACCGGTTTGCCATTATTGGGCCATCCAAGCGTACAACCCAACCACCTGTCACGGAAACACGGTTGAAAACCGCATGCTGGTGCGTGCTCAAGCTTGCGGTTGTCTGGGATGTGGAAGTCATGCAGTGCTTGATGTGGCTACAGTAGCGCTCAAAGTTGGACATGAAACCAGAGGTTTTGGCATCAGAGGTTCTCCCGCTTGGAACTTAGGTTTGGCAAATTGGAAAGAAAGGCGGGGCCGCGCTAACTGAAAAAACACGGGGGGGTTCTGTAGAAGCTGTGTAGCATTGGGCTGCACCGTGGGGCCAGAAACTAGGAGCACGGCCTGTAGAAGGCCGTGGGGTTTTTGTGATCAACGGGGTGTCATGGATCATGTTTGATGTGCTCGTGCCATATATAGGAATTTGTTTGATGTGATTTTTAAGGCCGTTAACCCCTTATTCTGGTGCAGTTTTTCAAAAACAGGTATTTCGCCTAGACGAAACTAGCATTTTTGGGTTTTTTGCTGATGCTGAAATTAATTCGACCTGACATGTTTTGAGTCGTCTTTTGGTCAGAGCAGCGCTTCTAGTTCTTCCAAGAACCTTTGAGGATCTGGATTTTCTAAGCTAGAACGCCAGCACCACATGAACACATATTGTGTCACTGAAGGGTGCAAGGTGGAATGCCTACGGTCTTTGTGCTTCAAACCCAAGAGAACTTACAGTAGCATAGCATGACGCATGAGTGGAAAGTTCAAGAGAACTTGCAATAGCAGCCACAGAGTAGCATGTCCTGCATCAGCAAGTTCACATGAAAGTTAATACATGCCCCACCCCACCCCACCCCACCCATGAATACATGCACCTGCCGGCAGCCACAGAGTAGCATGTCCTTCACCAGCAAGTTCACATGAACGTTAATACACGCCCCACCCCACCCCACCCCACCCCCTAATGCCCACAAAACACCACGGCCTTCTAAAGGCCGTGGTCCAACTAAATGTTTGGCAAGCATCCACAGCACAGCTATGGCAACGCTGGTTTCAAAGCAGCGGCCGCAGCCATGCGCTTAAGAAGATGCGCCTTCATTCCCTTTTGTCACGGGGCGCGGGCATCAATATTCAGGACCAGGGCTTCCATTTAATGCGGTTGGTATGGGCAACCCGCGAATCCCAAACTTAGGCATTCTCCGCTGGGAGCGCGCAGTCTGCACAGCACCCCTTCCGCTGCAGAGGCTTTGAAGAGGAGCCAGATATGACCTGCACACTAGAGAAGAAGACAGACGAGGAGCTGTTCCTCGGCTGTGCACGGCAGCGATCATCAGGGGCGGCTTTGCGCAGCTGACCGGGGCTGAGAGGGGCTAAGATGAGTCAAGAGAAGCTGGGAGGACCTCAGGCGAGCGGAGAAAGGCTGAGAAGAGCTCAGAAGAACGCAGTAGACTAAGAGCTCACAAGAGAAGAGCCGAGATGAGTGAATTGGAGACGAGCTGCGAAGAGCCGAAATGACCTGAAATGAGCTGAGGTGGGTTGAGATGAGCTGAGATGAGCTGAGAAGAGCTGAGGATGAGCTGGGCAGAGCTGAGAAGGGCTGAGGATGAGCTGGGCAGAGCTGAGAAGGGCTGCGAAGAGCCGAGGTGGGCTGAGAAGAGTTGAGAAGAGCCGCAAGGAGGTGAGAAGAGGTGAGATGACCTGGGAAGAGTTCAGAAGAGCCGAGCCGAGGAGATGAACAGGAGTACGGCTGACAAGAGCTGAGATGGACCGAGAAGAGCTGAGATGCGCTGAGAAGAGGTGAGATGAGCATGAGCAGAGAAGAATTGAGATATGCTGAGATGAGCTGAGAACAGATGGGAAGAGCTGAGAAGTGCTGAGAAGAGCTGAGAAGAGCTGAGAAGAGTTGAGAAGAGCTGAGACGAACGGGGATGGGCTGAGAAGAGCTGAGATGAGCTGAGAAGAATTTGAGAAGGCTGAGAAGAGATCTGGGAAGGGCTGAGACGAGCTCAGAGGGAAAACGAGAAAAGAAGCCAAGCGCAAGAGATGTCAAGAGAAGGCAAGAGATGGTTCCTGCAACGTGCCTTGGTTGCCTGACATCCAATAGGCTCATTCTGATTTTTTTGCCTTCTTAGATTTTCCAGAAGCTTCCGCCGCCCTTGCTTTCCGCCCCCGGCTTGCCCGGGTACTACTTGGACTGATCCGCGTCCAGATAGTTCGAGCTGGCGCCATTTTGCTGTCCAACTTCGGCGGGTGCTGCTTCAGTTCGACGGTTGCAGAATATGTTTGGGCCTGCCCAGAAAAAGCTGCTTGGGTGCCAAATCTACCCAAGACCGGGGCTTGTGCTCATGTAGGCGCCTTTGGGCGGGCACTTGGCCGAAGGGCTGTAAGCGGGCTTACACGCCGAGGTTGGCCGAAGCGCCTAAAGGCGTCAAGGGTGGTTGCTCTACTGCATAGATTCATTTGTTCTTGCATGAAGCAATGATTTTGTGTTGGGTGCTCCCTCTCTATCAAGTTTCTTTTTCCACGCTTTGGATCAGAAGCCTTTTTTCCTTGCCTTGACAAAGCAACCCATCAGCCTAGGAGGCTATGGGCATTTCAAAAAGCAAGAGGAGCCTAGGGTGAAATTGAAAGCTGCAGCGGGTGGCTACTGAAGTGTGATGACCTGCGATGGCCATCTTGACTTTTGGCAGGTTGAGGTTCCATTGGTATCCCAAAGCAGCCTTCCCGATTGCAGGTATGTTTCTACATGTTTGTCAGCCGGTCACTCGAAGCCATGTGGATACCTGTTGTTCCCGCATTCCCTTGCCAGCGCGCCCAGCATGTGGCAAAGAGTCCCAGGAGCTGTTGAATGGGCGGCCGGTGTACTTCAGTGCGGCGACGGACAACATTGCGAGAAAACCTCTTTATTTTGTTGACTTGGACTTTGATTTCAGCCGTTTTCTGTTTTGTTTTGTTTGGCGCTCTGGTTTGCTGCAGTGTTTCCCTATATAGTTACAAGAAGTGCTTCATTTTCCCAAATGCCTAGCAGTAATCTCTGGAAGTCTTGGGATGCACCTTCGTTCGCTGGAAGCTGCTCCTGTGTTCGCAGATTTCCGCAAGCCTTCGCAACTGTCCGCAGATGTTGGCGATGAGGCTCCACGCCTGTGCTTATGCGGTACGACCCGTACGTGTCTTGAAATTGCATTTGGCGTGGCAGGTGCGGTGCTTGTTGGAGCTCATGCGCGGCAGATGACGCATCGAAATTTGCTGTCGCCGGCAGGGGCAATATTCAGGCGCTGCCTTTCGAAGAAGAATTCGTATCTTTTTTGGCAGGCACAGTACTTGGGGGAGGTCCATCTTCATTCTGCCTGGCAGCCACAATGCTTGAGACGAGTTGTTTGATCCGCATGCAAATCGCATCGGATTGGCGGCACCAGGGGGTAGGGGGTGACAAAGTGCAAACTCCATGGCGCACGCGATACATTGAGCGTGTCTTTTTGTGGCCGGCGCAGTTTTTGGTGGAGCTTCGAGGTGTCAGTTGGCGTGGCAGGCTCAACCCAGATCTCTCGTCCAAAAGTTTTTGCAGGAGTATTCTGACGGGAGTTTCTCGGAACGGTGTCTCAGAAGAGTGTCTTGTACAAGTGTCCAGCAAGATCGTCTCCGAAGGGTTTCTGCAGAGTCTCGCAGAAGAGCGGCTTCAAAAATGTTCTGCAGTACTCTAGCCTCCCACAAAAGCGTCCTAGCATCATACGGCTTGATGATCTTTGAAGCAGGATATTCAATTTCAGCGTGATGCGCATGCGGGTTCGTGGGTTCTATCATTTTTTCCGCGCGGCAAAGCTTCTGCTTTCGAGCAGCATTGCAAGGTTTATGTCCAGAAGAATTCATGGGGGCTTGAGAATGTGTGGATGCTTTGTGAAGCGGCTGAGAATGATACCTATGCCTGGCGCACATCCGGGACACCTCGACCTGCTCCAGCAACTTTTGCTTTTTTGCCAGGTCATCAGTTTTTTGCTCATAAAGTTTTGCAAGGGCCTTTCAGAAATCTAAATTCAGGTTTAAAGACCCATGCCTCAACGGGCCCGCATCGGTTGCTTCACATCTGAAGGAAGACATTTTGCTTTTCCCCTGATCGAGCCCATTGGCCCACGAGCTCTGATTGGAAAGAGGCCCTCTATGTGGAGGCGTTGTCGCTCAGTTTTGCAGATCGAGGGGTGGAAGAAGGATGGGTGGACCCCGCCTTTCCGCATTCTGCAGAAAGCCTCGGAGGGACATGCCAAGAGATTGACGGGCAGGACAGGAAACCGCTGGGCTGCTGGGTTCTAGCATCGGCTTTATACTTTGGTAAAGTCAGGAAGCGGTTTAGCACACAAGCTAACTTTTTCCACCAAGTACAATAGGTGAGACACGTCAAGAGAAGGAAGCAGCCAAGAATGTTGCTGCAGGTGACAGTTTTGTGTGGCAATGTGGTGCGCGCGCCTGGGTGTGACAGTGTGCTCCACGCGCGGCAAGACTCGGTGTGATAGCATCGTCTGTAATTAGCACGGCTGTGTGTGTGATTATGGTTTGTGCATGCGTGTGTGTGTGTGTGCGCGACGACGTTGTGTGTGTGCGTGTACGGGTGGCAACGGTGTCTGTGTGTGTGTGCGTGCGTGTCTGTGACCATGTTGTATGTGGCAGCGCTGCGTGTGACATGTGAGGGTGTTGCGTCGCACCTGCCACACAAAAGCAAAACCGCGTGGGGAACCAGGACAAGTTGCAAAGAACAAGTTGCAAACAACTTTGGGCTTGAGAAAACATCAATCCACGGCTACTGGGGCAATTCGTTTTGGATCTCTATACGGCTTGGTAGTCCCATAGCTTCCCTTAAGCTGACACAACCGCAGCCATGTCAACTGCGAGCGGGCTTGTGCTGATTGACTCCGTCCTGTAAGCGTTGTCATGCGATTGATGCAGTAATCAAATTTTGTAGCCAACCCACGACCTTTTTGAACGCGCTGATTGGTCCCTCCTTAACACAGCGACCTGCCAAGGACAGAATTCTAGGCTCTTGCGCAGCGCTGCTCCATGGCAGAACCGCCACCTCAAGGCATAAGTTAAACCTTATTGAACCCTGTTGCATTGCTGTCCGCTGTGCCGCTGGCGCCAGGAGCCTGTGTGGCGGCGAGCAACTTGATTGACTATCTAGACTTTGTGTGTCGTGCATGCCTATGGGGGCATATGCCGAAGCCGTTGGCAGAGCGATGCCTTCCAAACAGTATTTGGTTACGTCCTGGTTCAATTTCGGCGCATTCCCGCATTTTTGACTTGCCAAAAAGCCTGTGTACAATCTATATGAAATGAGGCACCTGCTCTGACTGTCAATGAGCCGACGCTTTTCGGAGAAAATACAGAGCCTGCGGATATTTGCCAAGGCCAGACAGATACCATGCCCTCGCAGAAGAATGAAGAGGAGGGTTGAAATCTTTCCCAACAATGGAGATTGAAAGGCCGACCCATAAAAACAATATTTGCAAGGCCCCTCATTTTCATGTGGACAACAGCTGCCCGATCCAGTATCATCAGCCGCGAACTCTGTGAGGCCGCGTCGGAGATTGCTGGCTGATTGCTGCGATTGCGGCTGTGGCGGAGTTTCCTCATTATTTGGAAGATCAAGTTTTCGCGAGGAAGGAGATGTTGGGAGGGGCAGCTTTCAAAGGAACGCGTTGAAGTGAAAATATTACACGCGTTGAAGTGAAAATATTACCTTTCAAGCTCAAATGAATGGAATGCCATTATTTGGATGATGGTGGCACTTGGGATCAGGTCGGCCCCCAGCCTTATTCCCAGGCATTCTCATGTTGAGGGTTGAAGGACAAGAGCATGACCCATGCGGGGGTGCTGCCAGCACCGAAGGTGCAGGCAGGCAGAAATTTTGAGCAAGCCTGTCAAGACTTGAGAAATTAAAGGTTCTTTACCAAGATACGTCAAGCTGCCATGCTTATCCCCTTGTGTTTGCTAGAGGAAGGGTCAAAAGATTGAAGGCTAGAGTCGTGCTACCTGGGGCTTCCCCAGGTGGCTTCCGGGGCTTGTTCAGAGCGTAACATCAAGATTGAAAAGTGGTTCCGTGCAGGTTGAAACAAGAGTCCGGGGAGTTGTTTGCTTGGCGGCGCCCAACTGTGTCAGTGCTCCCTTGAAAGGTGCGCGCCTGGATCGGGAATCCCCCTTGCCACCTCTTCGGGCATGCCCTCCTTGCTCCCAGCCGCCAGGAGCTCGCAGAGGATGGGAAGTACGAGTTGCGCGCCTCGCCTGAAGTGATGTTTGGTTCTCAAAACAAGGTGCGCACGATTTTTTTACGGATGTTTCGAGGCCCCCCTGCTTAATTCACTGTGGCTCTCGGATCATTCCGTTGGTTTGAACAAGGTCAACCCAGTAGGATAGCATTGCAGGGCCATCCCATATACTCTCGCTTGTGCGGCTGCGCGTTTGCAAAACACCATGCTTTGCATGGGTTGCCGCGATGCCAAAGTTCTGTATCATGGCCTAGCATGCGTTTTGGTTCTTCGCCCATCCAACCGCGGGGCAATACAGAATTGGACCCGCGGCTCTGCATTAGCGTAGCCCACACTCCCAGAAGGCAGGCCCTGACTGACGAGCATAGTTGCAGATGACAATTTGGCCGTTCAAAACCCAAATCCGCAACCCCCAGCAATGCGTATTTTGCGCAGTTAACCACAGGGGAGGGCCGTCAAGGCTATCATGTGAATCGGACGAAAGACTGTGTGTGTGAGGTCTGTACGACCTCCACGCCGACAAGTTTGATGAGAGGAGCACCTTTGTGGTGGATGACTACATTCCTTGCTTTCCTGGAACTTGGTACTTGGGAGTTGTCGTGTGAAAAGTTTCTCCCTCATTTGATGCAGGTTTGTTTCTGGGTTTTTCCTCGCATCATTGTGTGGGTTCTTGTTCCCGAGAGCTACTGCGAAGGCTTTTTCCCAAAGAATTGCTCCCAAAATTAATTTTTCACTTCATCGACATCGCATACATCATCTACATCTTCCACATCTCTCCTACATCTTTTTCATCACTACATCATCTACATCAATTTCATCTACATCACATATACAAGTAGTACCCGCCGGGCAAGTCGGCGGCGGAAGTTTCAAATTCAAAACGCTTCTGGCCTATAGAGGGGCGTGCAAAGACTGTGCCTATATGGTGCACCAGACCTTCTGCGCTTCGCAGCAACAAGCTTTTGACTTGTCATTCTAGTGCCACCACCTCTTTCACTAGGATCCTTTCTCATGTTCATCCAACCTCATCTCGTCTCATCTCAGTTCATCTCATTTCATCTTAGCCCATGTCATCTCACCTCATCTCATCTCATGTTGTGTCTTCTCAGCATTCATCACCACATCTCATCTCATCTCATCCCATGTCTTCTCTGCTGTCTCAGCTTATCTCATCTCTTCTCAGTTGGCGTTGACTGTTCTCATTTCCTTCCATGTCACCTCAGCTTTTCTCATCTCATCGCTGCTCATCTGAACTCTTCCCTTTTTAGCTTTCCTCAGCGTCTCCACTCTTCGCAGTTCTTTTCCATCGAGCTCTTCTCAGCCTTTGATCGCTCTCCTTGGAGCCTTTGTACTCTTTTTCCAATTTCTTCTTTTCTTCTTTCAGCTCATCTCATCTTTCAGTACCTTCTTCTTTCTTTACTTTCATGTTTAAATTTGCTTACGATTGCATCCCATCAAATCTCTTTACCTTCCCAGCGAGACACCGCAGAAGTTCTACGCGGACAACAAAGTTCAAGTGGAAGTTGGTTTTTCTGCGCGGTCCGCAACGACGCATGCAGTCAGTCTTCCGCAGCCACAATGGCATCGTCCAAGCCCTTCAAGATCGCATGCAATTCCTCGACAATCTCTTTGAGGTGTTTTGCGGCCTCTGCCACATGGCTTTGTGCGGAAAAATTGCTAATCATGCATGGGATGGTCTCGGCGGCCCACAACGGCGCACCGGTGCTCGGAACGTTGGAAGCGGAAGCCGATGCGGGCGATGCGGGCGCACCTCCGGTGGTATTTTCATACATGCTGCCGAGGAGAAGTACAGCGGTGCTCAATCATTCCGGGCCACTTGGTAAACAGCCTCTTGTTGCTCCGTGGTGCAGTAAGCCAACAGTTCTTTGAACTGTGTGGCAAGCAGCTCTTGGGAACATTCGGACGCCATGGCTATCAGGGAAGGTGTGAAAATGAAACTTTCGTTCAAGACTTCCCTCAAAACCTGAAAGTTGAAGATGTGAAAACGAAGCCATCCTGCGAGACCTGCCTCAAAAACTGAAAGCTGAAGATGTGAAAACGAAGCTTTCGTGCGAGACGTCCCTCGAAATCTGAACGTTAAAGATGTGAAAAGGAAGCTTTCGTGCGAGACACCCCTGTAAAAGCCAAAGCTGAAGTTGTGAAAACGAAGATTTCGTCCGAGACGTCCCTCAAAAATTGAAAGATGAATTAAGAAAACGAAGCTTTCGTGCGAGACATCCTTCAGAAACGAAAACTTCCGGTTGGAAAAACGACGTCTGAAGCGGCAGTTACAGTGCAGGGCCCGTTCGAGAATGATCCGACCACAGCCGCCACGCGGCAGACCTTCCCCATTCATCTTCCGAGGCACGTTTTGCGCTGCAAAGCACAGCTTTTCGCGCATCTGTTATCTCTCGAGCAGTCCGTCAAAACCTGAAGGTTGAAGTTGTGAAGACGAAGCTTTTGTAGGAGACACCCCTCAAAAAATGACAGTTGAATTTGCGAAACGAAGTCTCCTCCCCTCAAAAAATGAAAGTTGAAGATGTGAAAGCGAGGCGAAGCTTTGGTGCAGGACATCCCTCAAAAACTGGAAGCTGAAGATGTCAAAGAGAAGCTTTCGTTCAAGACGGCCTTGAATATGAAAGTTGAATATGTGGGAGCGAAGCTTTCCTGTGAGACGTCCCCAAAAAGTGAAAGTTGAAGATTTGGAACGAAGCTCTTGTGGGCGCCTGCCCTCAAAAAGTTAAAGTTGAAGTTGCGGAAGCGAAGCTTCCGTGCGAAACGTCCCTCAAAAACGGAAAGTTGAAGACGTGAAAACGAAGTTTTCGTGCTGTGACAGTCATTTTGCTGTGACCATCATCGCTGTGACAATCATTGCTGTGACCATCATTGCTGTGACAGCCATTGCTGTGAGAATCATTGCTGTGACCTGTGACAGCCATTGCTGTGACAATCATTGATGTGGCAGCCATTGCGCTGTGACAGTCATCGCGCTGTGACAGCCATTGCTGTGACAGCAATTACTGTGACCTGTGACATCCATTGCTGTGACATTCATTGCTGTGACTATCATTGCGCTGTGACAGTCATTGCGCTGTGACAGCCATTGCGCTGTGACAGCCATTGCTGTGACAGCCATTGCTGTGACAGTCATTGCAGTGACAGCCACTGCTCTGAGAGTCATCGGTGTGACAGCCATTGCTGTGACAATCATGGCGCGGTGACGATCATTGCGCTGTGACAGCCATTGCTGTGACAGCCCGTGGTGTGACAGACATTGCTGTGACAGTCATTGCAGTGACAGCCATTGCTGTAAGAGTCATCGGTGTGACAGCCATTACTGTAAGAGTCATCGGTGTGACAGCCATTGCTGTGGCAGCCATGGCAGCAACAATCATTGCGCGCACAATCATTGCAGTGACTTTCGTTGATTTCACAATCATTGCATTGCAGTGGCACCCAAAGATCCGTAACGCGCAAACATAGGCTTCTAAACTTCTTTTGACCCTATACATCGCCTACATCAACTTCATCTACATTACATACATCATCTACACTGTTTACACAATCTACAGGTGCTCATCGTCTACATATCCCCCGCAAGACTCCTAGAATGCCATTTACACAGGGGTTTTTACACCGGAGTTCTTGCACAGGAGTTAGTGCACAAGAGTTGTTGCACAGGAGTTAACTTCCAGGTGTTAAACTTGTATCTGAACACCTGGAAAAACTCCTACTTCTCAATTTCTCACTTTCTCTTCTAGGGCAGCAGGGGCAGTCAGGCCGTAGCTAACGCGACCCTTTGCGGGTCGGACTGCATGGAGCAACCCTGTGCAGAGATCGTGCATGTCGGACGGGATGGGGGTTTTGATGTTCTCGGAGCAACCCTCTGCGGAGTTCGCGCGTTTCGCACGCGCGAACGTTTGGCGAAATGCTAATTCTCTTGGCGCGTGGGCAACTCTTTGCGGAGATCGTGCATGTCGGATGCCTAAACCTTTGGTTAAATCCGAATTTCGTGGCGCGCAGTCGCACGACATAGGGCCGAACATGAAGAAGTGGTGTAAAACCGCAATTGTGAAACGTCAGAGGCAACCAGCGGGCACGAAACGAAGGTCAAATGGCAAAAACTGAGGTGAAATTGTAATCTTGCCAAAATCTGCTGTAATGCTGTAAAATGACAATTTTTTAAAACGTCAGCTGCAACCCTTCCTTGAAATGAGGGTCCGAAGCCAAAAATGGATGTAAAATTGCAATGCTGAAACGCCAGACAAACCATTCGGGCAAGGCTGCTCTGAGTAAAGGCTTCTGTGTGTCAAATTTTCTGTGTAAAAGCTTGTGTGTGTGTGTAATTTCTTCTCCGTGTCCAAGTTGCCGTGTGTAAAGGCTTCTCTGTGTAAAAGCGTCTCTGTGCAAAAGCGTCTGTGTCAAAGCCTCTCTGCGTAAAGGCGTTTTTGTGTAAAAGGGTCTCTGTGCAAAAGTTCTTTGTATAAAGGCATCTGTGCGTAAAGGCTTCCGCGAAAGCATCCGTGTGTGAAAGCTTCTGTGTGTAAAAGCATCTGTGTGTAAGAGCGCCCTTGTGTAAAAACTGCTCTTTGTAAAAGCTTTTGCGCGTAAAGGTTTCCGTGCATAAACGCGTCTATGTGTAAAAACTGCTTTGCGTAAAGGCTTCTATCTGTAAAATAAATTCTTTGCATAAAGGCATCTGTGTGTAAAAGCTTTTGCGTGTAAAAAGATTCCGTGTGTAAAAGCTTCTCTGTGCAAAAGCTGCTGTGTGTAAAAGCTGCCTTGCGTAAAAGCTTCTGTGTCTAAGAACTTCTATGCGTGCCGATTGCCGAGGCCAACTCTGACTGAGCCTACATCTGCGGCGCTGCGCTTGTTGAACAACATCGGTTGCGCGTTTGGGCCTGCGACTTGTCAAATCTTTCTTTCTTGGTGCAAAGATGTAACGCGTCATGCTGCCAAACCTTATCCAGAGGTTGAAACACCTTGATGTGCTGCGAGGTTGTATATGCCTCACTTCTTCAGTCTCCCTTCGCAGATCCGACGTTATCTGCTCAGGCGCGTGTGTTCGATTCTTGCGCGTGGTCACGCTGTTGTCTTGAAGACGTCTCACAACAGAAACCTTGTTCATGTCTGCATTCCGCGTGTGTTTTTGCTGCGCCATTTTCGGTGGCGCGTACAGCACTGCGCTTTAGTCGCCGGAGCGCTGCGCCGCCTCGCGTGGCAGGCACAGCGCGCGCTACATTTACGGGAGTGGCGTGCCTTGGTCGCCGACGGCGCTTTGTGTGGCAGGCGTCGGGCTTCATGAGTTCACGGTCCTTTTCGGCTGCACTTGGAAACAGCCACTTTTCTTTTGTGTGGCAGGCATGGGTGGCACTGACAGCACTGTGCAAGGCCAGGTGGTGCACTTTGGTCGCAGGGACGCTGCGGCAATTCTGTGTGGCAGGCGTAGAAGCATGAGCGGCGCTTTTTTGTGTGGCAAGCGCGGCATTTGGTGACATGAGACAGGTTCTTTTCCCGTAAGCTCCTGCGAATGGTTTTTTCCAAAGAACTGCTGCCAAATTCAACTCATCCACATAGCACCTCCTACTTTCCGTTTACATGATCCACATCATCTACTTCAACTTCACCTCCTACATCCTTGACACCGCCTACACAATTTACATCAACTTCATGAACGCCACATATGCATCTGCATCATTTACATCAACTTCATTTACATCATCATTGACGTCATTGACACAGAAGTTTTCTCACGGCGGGTGTTACACTGAAATTGTTACTCAGGGTTACACAGGAGTTCTTAGACAGGGGCTATTACACAGGAGTTAAGTTCTAGGTGCCTTACTTGTATCTGAACTCCTGCAAAGTCCTATTAATTCCTCAAGTTCTTCTAAATTACGGCGGCTTACAAAACGCAACCCTCCGTGGAAATCGTGCTTGCCGGACGCCCAAACGTGTCGTGAAATGCAAATGTGTTTTGGGTGCGAGCAACCCTCTGCGGAGATCTGCGTGCCAGGACACCCAAATGTGTCGTGAAGTGCAAATGTGTCTTGGGTGCGAGCAACCCTCTGCGGAGATCTTGTGCCGTGAAATGCAAATGTGTCTTGGGTGCGAGCAACCCTCTGCGAAGATCTTGCGTGCCGGGACGCCCAAATGTGTCGTAAAATGCAAATGTGTCTTGGGTGCAAGCAACCCTCTGCGGAGATCGTGTGTGCCGGGACGCCCAAATGTGTCGTGAAATGCAAATGTGTCTTAGGTCCGAGCAAGCCTCTGCGGAGATCTTGTGTGATGCAAATGTCTCTTGGGTGCGAGCAACCCTCTGCGGAGATCTCGCCCGCCGGGACGCCCAAATGTGTCGTGAAATGCAAATGTGTCTTGGGTGCGAGCAACCCTCTGCGGAGATCGCGTCTGCCGGGACGCCCAAATGTGTCGTGAAATGCAAATGTGTCTTGTGTGCGAGCAACCCTCTGCGGAGATCTTGCCTGCCGGGATGCCTAATTGCGTCGTGAAATGCAAATGTGTCTTGGGTGCGAGCAACCCTCTGCGCAGATCGTGTGTGCCGGGACGCCCAAATGTGTCGTGAAATGCAAATGTGTCTTGGGTGCGAGCAACCCTCTGCGGAGATCTTGCGTGCCGGGACGCCCAAATGTGTCGTAAAATGCAAATGTGTCTTGGGTGCGAGCAACCCTCTGCGGGGATCGTGTGTGCCGGGACGGCCGGGACGCCCAAATGTGTCATGAAATGCAAATGTGTCTTGGGTGCGAGCAACCCTCTGCGGAGATCGTGTGTGCCGGGACGCCCAAATGTGTCGTGAAATGCAAATGTGTCTTGGGTGCGAGCAACTCTCTGCGGAGATCTTGCCTGCCGGGATGCCCAATTGCATCGTGAAATGCAAATGTGCCTTGGGTGCGAGCAACCCTCTGCGGAGATCGTCTCTGCCGGGAGGCCCAAATGTGTCGTGAAATGCAAATGTGTCTTGAGTGCGAGCAACCCTCTGCGGAGATCTTGCGTGCCGGGACGCAAATGTGTCGTGAAATGCAAATGTGTCTTGGGTGCGAGCAACCCTCTGCGAAGATCTTGCGTGCCGGGACGCCCAAATGTGCCGTGAAATGCAAATGTGTCTTGGGCGCGAGCAACCCTCTGCGGAGATCTTGCGTGCCAGGACGCCCTAATGTGTCGTGAAATGCAAATGTGTCTTGGGTGCGAGCAACCCTCTGCGGAGATCGTGTGTGCCGGGACGCCCAAATGTGTCGTGAAATGCAAATGTGTCTTGGGTGCGAGCAACTCTCTGCGGAGATCTTGCCTGCCGGGACGCCCAAATGTGTCATGAAATGCAAATGTGTCTTGGGTGCGAGCAACCCTCTGCGGAGATCGTCTCTGCCGGGAGGCCCAAATGTGTCGTGAAATGCAAATGTGTCTTGGGTGCGAGCAACCCTCTGCGGAGATCGTGCGTGCCGGACGCAGGAATGTGTGGTGAAATCGGAATTTTCTGTGGCCTGGCGTCGCCGTTTCGCGCGACATCAGGGCTGAATGTCAAAAACTAGCATTAAATGGGAGTTTCGCAAGTTAAGACGCAACCCAAGAAGGCCGAAAGGCAAAAACTTGTGTAAAATGTTAAATTGCGATTTCACCTCGTGAAGTGGAAACGCCGAAAAACTTCAGTAAAATATTGCAAGTTTGCAAGATCAGATGCAACCCCTTCGCACAAAATGAGGGCCGAACGTCAAGAGCCGAGGTAGAATTGCGATGCTAAAATCTCAGACGCAACCCTTTCCCACAAAATTCAGGTAAAAGCGCGATGCAGTGTGTAAAAGAGTCTGTGGGTAAAAGCTCCTGTGTGTAAAGACTTCTGTGTGTAAAAGCTCCTCTGTGTCATGACGTTTCCGTGCCAAAGCTTCTGTGTGTAAATGCGTCTGTGTGGAAAAGCTCCTCTGTGTAAAAGCTTCTGAGTGTAAAAGCTCCCCTGCGCAAAGCTTTGTAAAAGCCTCTCCGTGTCAAAGTTTCTGTGTGTAAAAGCTTCTGTGTGTAAACACGTCTGTCTGCAAAAGCTAGTTTGTGCAAAGGCTCCTCTGTGTAAAGTCCTCGTCTGCGTAAATACTTCTCTGCGTAGAAGCTTCACTGTGTAAAAGACTTCTACGTGTAAAAACTCCTCTGTGTAAAGACTTCTGTGTGAAAGCTTCTGCGTGCCGTTGAGCGTCAGTTCCTGTCATTTGCCAGGGCTTTGGAACTTGGAACAGCTTGTTCCATCGGCGCCAAACCCTCTGCTACCAGAGAACGGTGCAGCTCTGGTAGCACAACTGGCGCGGGCCTCAGCCCGCTAACCGCAAAATCAGAGAGCGGCAAGGGCGACGCGCACCGACTTGCGCCAACCGAGGCGCAAGCCCTGGGTGTCTCCAAGGATGCAGTCCAAGCGTGGCTCCCCGAGCTGCACGCTTGGCTGCTCCTGAAGCCGGTGCATCCGGCCCTGGATGCGCCAACGGCCGAGGCCGATGAAACTAGATGAAACACACAACAAGAAAAAACAACAGACAGTCAACGCTCCGCCGTGCAGGCAACACGGGTGGCACGGCAGGCAGAAAAACGGGCTGAGAAAAGACGGTTGGAGGAGGAGAAACAAGCAGAGGCTCGGCCGGCGGAAGAAGCTGTCCTGTCGCGAATGCAGCCAGCCAGCGGACGCGTCGCCGCGGCAGGCGAAACGAAAGAGCCAAGCTGAGAAGAACAAAGCCCGCAACAAGAGGCGCAGAGAGTTGCGCCAAGAAGCACGCCGAAGCCAGGACCCTGAGGCACGCGGGAAAATCGGGAGAGCCCGAGACGCCTGACGCGTCGCCGACGCAAACGCCAGGTCCGGCTCGCACGCGTGGCCGCCCTGGAGAAAGACAGGAAAAGGAAAGCCCAGCCGTTCATTGGTGTTTTCCCAGTCGTTTGAATAGCAGACGGCATTTAAAATTACAGATACACGTGTGACATGATAATTTCCTTTAATTTCATCATCGTTCATTGTACATCCATAAATCATTTACATCCACCACCCGCTTCATCATTCACCTTGTTTCATCATCATTCATCATCCGTCATCTTCATATGTACCCCCATCGTCTTTAGAACTACACCCCCCTGTTTTTCCTTGCGGGCCACGCCGTCGTCTAGTTGTCGCAGGCGTGGCGCTTACGGCGCGGAGCTTGGTGACTGTCAGGATGCTTTTGTGTGGCAGGCGCGGAGCTTACGGCATTGGGCTGCGTCACAGGTGGCGCGCTCTGGTCGCCAGGACGTCCAGGGCACTTCGTGACATTCACAGTGCTTTTTGTGGCAGGCGTGACGCTTCGCGCGCAACTTTGTCACACACAACTCTTTGACAAACAATTTTTGTACGCACAACTCTTTGGCACACAACTTTTGTCACACAGGACTTGGTCACATGCAGCTCTTTCACACAACTTTGTCATACACAACTCTTTCAATCACGCACATACTTTTCATACAACCCTTTCATTCAAAACGCGCACTGGACACCTGCAATCACTCCATGTTCTTTACTGCTCTATCTTCCACCAGCTCCTTATCTCTTGCCTTTTTAATCCCGGTTGCACACCTGTTTCGTGCTTATGTGGGGTTATCCGGTTCTTTACTTATTAAGATTTTGCGTCCGAACCCAGGTATGGGCCAGCTAGACCTGCATTTGCAAACGGGACTGACAAGCTCTTCGCGCCAATTTTGGAGAAAGCATTTGCAAAGTATTACGGCAGTTTGGCACAAGGAGTCGGTCCTCCATGCTGCGTAGGCCCTTGCTGGTTGCAAACATGCCACTGCTTCACGGGGCCCCCGAAACCTAAAGTCATGTGCTGTGTCGTGCACAGGGCTGCTGTCTTTTTTGCTGTGGAACAATTACGAGGGGCGAACCGAGGATCATACTCAAAGCTGGATGGCGGCGGCAGCACATACGCTATTGCGATGATGACTGGGGAGACACGCGGTCTCAACTTTGCAGCTTTGCATGAGTACGACGACAAGACACTGGGCGTGGAGGTCCAGTATCTAGCGCAGGTATTGGGGCGCGATCGCTTTTACACACACACACATAGTTTCGGTAGGCGGAAAGGGGGCGCGGTGAGACAGCAAACACCATGTCAAAGAAGAAAGCACCCATCTAACAAAACATCCTATCAAGAAACCATTGAGAGACCGCCGGGGCCTCTTAAGTTTCAATGAATCCCTCACAGGATGTGGGGAAGAAGGTTGTTCTGCTCTATTGGCTCTCTTGCACTTGTCAATCTTGGGTTCGTTTCAGAAAGGGCTTCTGAACCGACAGGAAGCCATCTAGAGTTGGAGGGAGGCCCGTTTGCTTTTTTTGGACGAGCACCTGGAACTGTACCAACACTTGCTTTGCTAGATTCTTCTTCTGTATGCAGAGGCTTTTGGCCCGCATGGAATGGGCTGCATCTATTTATTCATGTATTTCTGCAACCATGCCATGCAACACACACTGTGCTTCCCAGCCTGTGCTGCTGGCGCTGGCAAGTCCGCAAAAGTAAACGGCAGGTTGAGCAGCGCAGTTAGACCCTACCCTCTGTCCAAGGAGCCACCGCTTTGAAGTCATCAAGCAAGGTGGGCTTGCAGTCTATCAAGATAAGGATCCTCAGAGCAAGAAGACAGGACAACACGTGCGGGCTCATCATTCGGTGACTTATAGCTTAAAGGCCAAAAACTGCCACAAGGAATGTTGGTCCATCGCTCGCGGCAACATGGACCGCAGTTTCCTTGCTGCGTGAACGACGGCGTGTGCAAATTAGATGTTTTTCTTCCATCTTGAAAACCCGACATCACACGCTGAGATTAACGCCGCCAGGAGTTCTTCCTGAAGGCGTGACTTTGGAGATTTGCGTGTCTTGTTTGAATTAGCTGCGCATGTTCAGACTTATTATAAAAAGGATGCTCCTTACTCCTGCTTGTTTGCGGTGGCTTCGGCTTTTGAACTGAGGCATTACGAGCTGTCTTTGTGACGGTATTTCCCACAGGCTTTTACCCCCAGTAAGGTTTGCTGCGTGGTTGTCAATTTTTAATCCACGCACGGATGGGGTTCGCCATGCTTCAAAGATGCCGAGGAAGTCCACGGCCAGCGCATCAGCTTCGTCAACCCAGAGGGCAATGAGAGCTTCCCCAACTCGGGTTGGATCTCCAGCTATGTGGCGGGCCGCCGGACGATCAAGATCACAGGCCGGGCCTTGGTGAGATTCGCATGCCCAGCTGTAGGCGGTGAGTTGGAGGGAAGGCTGTCACTCCGTCGCTTCACGGCAATCGCTTTGACAAGATATCATATCCCTGCAAGCGGCTTGTAGGCATGGCAGGCAAACCCTGTTCCAGGTTGGTTTCGGTGGCAAATGCGAGAGAACGTGGTCTCCTCCATGGGTCAGAAGATTGGTCAGGCGAAGCAGGTGGATGACCCGTTGCTTGGCAACCCAGGGAGGTTGACCACACCTGACTTGTGGAACGCTACAGCGCAAAAATTACATCGGCATACAACCTAGATAGCAATAAGATTTTTCTCATCAGTCTGCAAGTTCGCAGACAAGATTTGGAGGGCAGGGGTGCAACGCTGGGAGACCAGGCAGCAGCGGCAGCGGCGGCAATCATGAAGGGGAGATGAAGGGAGACATGACGGGAGACAAGACTGGGAGACAAGGTGGCAGCGGCAGCGAAGGCGGCGTCTTCTCTACCAATCCGTTTTCTACTTTCTCCATGCTCTTTTGTGCCCTTGCGCCCTCATTTTCCCACCTATTTGGCACTTGGCGGAAGAATTTAACATTCGGGGTTTACCGGCCTCTCACTCTTCCGTCTGCCTTTTGAATGCTTTTCGCTTGTCAAATCACATCTTTACATGACAGTTCCACGGCACAAGGCCTCACAGACGTGCAAAGCAGCACCAAAGAATGACGGCGCACAGACATAAACATCATGGAGCTGTGACATCTGTTGAGGATGCGGGGCGGTGATGACGCGAGGTTGTGATGATGCAGGGCGGTGATGATTGTGTGAAGAGAAGGTGGCGGGAGTTGGGGATGAAGCAGTGAGGATGTGCAGCGGTGATGGCGCAAAGTGGGGGGGAGTGGTGATGTTGTGAAGTGGTGATTATGTGAAATGGTGATGGCGCAAAGTGGTGAGGGGCAGTGATGCTGTGAAGCGGTGATGATCTGAAGCGGCGATGATGCGGAGTGGGGATGATGTGAAGAGGCGTTGGAAAAGTATTAGTAACCCGGCGTTTCTCTCCCCATTGATAACTGTTGGTTGCTCCCTGGCTTGGTTTCCAGGGCCAAAACAAACCAGAGGCTCCAGCCTCGGCTTTCCATTTTTATTCTACATGTTTTATCCTGGAGGTTTCGGATGCTGGTAGATTACGATGCCCGCAACTATCTCATGACTGCGGGCATTGTGGGTCCGGAAGCATGGCGCCGGAAATTTTACCAGGACGAGGGGGGTCTGCGGTCTGTTGCAAAAAGCCCGCCGGCAAGGGATAATTTGTTTTGCCTTGCGCGTTGCATTTGGCAAAATGGCTTCGCTATTTGCAGCTGCCCACGGCCTCGCCCTGCAGGATGGTCTTGTTACGCCGCACGCCTATTCCCTGCTCAGCGTCAAGGAAGTCGGCGGGCTTCGCATGGTGTGCCTTCGGAACCCTTGGGGACGCGGCGGCGGTAAGGAATGGCTAGGTGGGTGGAAAGATGGAGCTCAGGAGACCTTTGGTGGCGGGGGGGTGGAAATTTCACTTTGGATGTTAATCGCAGGGCCACGCCGCCCATGGTTGCTCTCAGGTTCAAGCTGCTTTTTCCCGAATGCGCAGCGAAGGGTTCCCGTTCAAAGTCTGGGGGTCTGGGGGCTGGACCCTTGTTCGCCTCGAGTGTCTCGTCGGGTCGGCGTCGCATCGTCGTCGGGTCGTCGTCGGGTCGTTAATTCCGTGTCTATGGGGGAAGCTCCAAACTTCTCCTTTTCGAAGGTTTCCAAGCAGGTTGTCATGTCGTTTGCGTGGCAGGCGTGGCACTTTGTGACATTCCAACCGGTTTGATAACGTGCCGAAAATGACAAAATTGGAGGAAGTCTCCCACAAAATGCTGGTTCTGCTGCGCCCACGTGTCTCGTCTCGAGTCTCTGGTTTTCCTGTGGCGTCGCCGTGTCTATGTGGGAAGCTGCAAAACTTCTCCTTTTCGAAGGTTTCCAAGCAGGTTGTCATGTCGTTTTGTGTGGCAGGCGTGGCACTTTGTGACATTCCAACCTGTTTGATAACGTGCCGAAGGTGCCAAAATTGGAGGAAGCCCCGCACGAAATGCTGGTCTTGCTGCGCCCACGTGTCTCGTCTCGAGTCTCTGGTTTTCCTGTGGCGTCGCCGTGTCTATGGGGGAACTGCAAACCTCTCCTTTTTGAAGGTTTCCAAGCAGGTTGTCATGTCGTTTTGCGTGGCAGGCCAGCACTTTGTGACACTCCAACCTGTTTTATACCGTGTCGAAATTTCTTTTGTGTGGCTGGCAACAATGCACTCCACACTTTACACTCGACACTTTACACTCTACACTCCACACTCTACACTCCACACTCTACCCACCACACTCCACACTCTACACTCCACACCCCACACCCCACCACAATCTACACTTTACACACTCCACGCTCCTCACTCCACACTTTACACTCTACACTCCACACTTTACATTTTGCACTCCACACTTTACACTTTACACTCCTCACTCCACACTCCACACTCTACACTTTACACTCCACACACGTACGTGAATGGTACAGGTGCCGAAACACATGGATATCAGAGTGTGGAGTGTGGAGTGGAAAGTGTAGGGTGTGGAGTGCGGAGTGTAAAGTAAGGAGTGTGGAGTGTAAAGTGTGGAGTGGGCAGTGTAGAGTGTAAAGTGTTGGGTGTGGAGTGTGCAGTGTAGAGTGTAAAGTGTAGAGTGTAAAGTGTGGAGTCGGGAGTGTGGAGTGTAAAGTGTGGAGTGTAAAGTGTGGAGTGTAAAGTGTGGAGTGTGGAATGAGGAGTGTAGAGTGTGGAGTGAGGAGTGTACAGTGTAAAGTGTTGAGTGTAGAGTGTAGAGTGTAAAGTGTGGAGTGTAAAGTGTGTCGATTTGCGTTTTGTGGGGCAGGCGCAATACTTTCGCAGCTTTTCCAGTCCCTGCGATTGCATTTTGTTCCTGGATGTCGCTTGCGTCCGCAGTTCTAATTGTGTTTTGCACGTGACGGCTGCTAGTCGCATTGTAAGAGCTGTTTCCAAGTTCTCCTGGATGTCATTTGCGTGCGCAGTTTTTTTGTGTTTCGCACATGACGACTGGTCCTCGCATTGTAAGGGCTGTCTACAGGTGCTCCTGGACGTCACTTGCGTGCGTAGTCATATCGTGTTTTGCAAGTGTTCGTCGTCAATCCCACTGTAATTGCAACGCGAATGGAGTTCACGTGTCAATTTTTCTCATTTTGACGGCTTTCATTTTCCTTTGAAAACTCTAATTAAAACACGTTGCAACATTACATTTTTGGAGCTTGGATGTCGAAATCCGGTTTTTAGAGCTGATTTTCGGCGCCTATTGTGCGCAATTCTATCCTGTTTTGCATTTGACGGCTGCGCTGGTGCTTTTGTTGTGCTGGTGATTTCGTTGTGTTGCGCTGGTGATGTTGTTGTGCTGCTGGTGGTGCTCTCGTTGTGCTGGTGATGTTGTTGTGCTGGTGATTTCGTTGTGCTGGTGATTTCGTTTGTGCTGCTGATTTTGTCGCGCTGGTGCTGTTCGCTGGTGGTTTCGTTGTGCTGGTGATGTTTGTTGTGCTGGTGATTTCGTTGTGCTGGTGATTTCGTTGTGCTGTTGATTCTGTTGCGTTGGTGATTGCGTTGTGTTGGGCTGGTGATTTGTTGCGCTGGCGTCTTTGTTTGTTTTGTGTCTTTGAAAGGGGAGTGTCTGCAGAATTTAATCCAATTGACTTGCGGAATCATCTGTTCTTATTGTGTGTCTCTTTGTGAACTGTTGATCAGGTGCCTTCGCTGAGACGATATGAGCGCACGATGTATGAAAAAAAGGCGTCGTTTTCCTAGCGCAGAGGTTTTCACTCGTAGTCCAAGAACGTGAATACATTCGGGTTCGTGGCTTCCATCTTGTTTAATGGCAGGCGCCTTCCGTAAGCCGGCCGAGTCGCCTAGAAAAAGGTCGTAGCTCAGCATAGCAAGACGGGAGTGTTTCCAAACTGCTCGGAGGAGTGGAAAGCAAATCCTCAAGTTGCAGATGCGCTGGAAGTGGATTTCAAAGCTGACGGGATCTTTTGGTTGGAGTGGGAGGACAGGCGGCGGTGCCCAAGAAGAGCACCATGCATTTCCACGTGCTGCGCCTATGTTTGCGCAGGGCGCGCCCACGGCCATGGTTCTCCCAAAGAAGCATGTGCAAAACATCCTTTGGTTGCGTGCAAGTCGGTTTTCTAAACGGCATCCATCTTGTGTAAGCCACAGTGCCTGCTGCACGCTTCGCTTTTGTGGTTGCTCATTGTTTGTATTTGGACGCGCTGCATTTTTTATTCTTGGAACCTGACTCACAGCTCTGGAACAGGACATGCATTCGGGGGGTTTATTTACCATTCTACACGCTCCTCTGTTCAGAAGCTGCTTTGGTCTGTGTCAAAGGGCCTCTGTCTCTCGTGTAAAAGCTACTTTGTGTAAAAGCCTCTTTGGATTTTTTTAAATTGCAGTTTCACGATGACATGTGCGGAGCTTGGCCCGGCCCGAAAGAATCCCCTTCCCACCAATGGCAATAGCTTCGTTGCTTGCAGTATGCCAAAGGTGCTGCACGCCCCTGCTGAATGTGTCAAAGTGGTCATTGATTTTGGTTTAGTATTTCTTCCCCGCATGACAATTAGCAGGCTTCACACACACACACACTTGCTCAGAACTGTCAGTGCGAATTGTGTTGTGGAGTGCATCTTACGTGTAAAAACAATCCAGTTACACCTGACAGGAATGGGTCGGTGAGGAGGCCCGACAAAGTATCAAGAAGCTACCATCGCCATAGCCAGTGCAGAATGGAATAAATTGGAAGCTGACCCTTCCCCTTCAACAAAGCCATATCGCTCTTATCTTGACAGATTGCGAAAACCGTACAGAAACTGAAATGGTCATTTGGAAAAGCAGAAATTGCAGAAATTCAAAACTGACGTCATGCCGGTTCTAGGCTTAGCCGGTCGCCATGAACAAAAAACTGATTTGTCGAAATTGCAGGTACGTCTGGATGGCCAGTCCAGGTTTCCCACTCTGTGACCTAGCCTCGTTGAACTGGGTCAGTCACAGAGTGCCCAGTTCCCTTGCTGAAAATAAATGAGAGTCGACAGTTAGCATCTCTTCAGATGTTTCACACACACTCCCCGCTGCCGCGGGACTTTTTTGGAAGATGCATCGCGAATGCACATGACATTTCTGGTCAGCTGGGTTCGGATCGATTGATCAAAATGCCAGATACAGTTGAAAACAACACAGTCACGGGATGGCTTGATCATCTTCATCCGAAAAGAAGTCCTCTGGGTTTGCTTCACGGGCTAGGACATTAGCAGTAACCGCCAAATGGCTGCCAAGCTGAACGAGGTCAGCTGTGGTGAATAGACGAATGTTGCTCTCCGTTGGATCTGCAGGCGGAATCTGGAGCATTTCAAGGATTGGGGCATTGAACTCAGGATCCCGAATCAAGATATTCTACAAGATGTGCGCCAACCGGCTGATCTGCATGGGCACGGATGGCACAGGATCTACTTCCAAATTGGATGCGTCGTCCGCATCGTCCTCGACTGGTGCATCTCCTGCTGGGTTTTCAGGGAGATCATTGTTCTCCCGTTGCCCATGCGGCTCAGTCCCATGAAAGTTGTATGGGACTTCGTCAATTTGGAAGTAGCGTCGCCAGTAATTGGCAATGCGGGAAGCTTCACGCCATCCATTGATGGCATAGCCCCACGTGTCCTGCACATGACCCGCAATTCCACGGAAGAAAAATTCCGGTTGACGGAGACGTTCCGTTCCATGTGAATCAGTCTCGGTGACCCAGAGTTGTGTTCGTTTGTTTGGTCCTTCACCGACATCGATCAATTTGAACACTTAGGTGTGCACCACGCGTTGGCTTGGTCGGAGATCACTGGTGAATGGATTGTGTGGAAAAGAGGAGTTCCCCGGGTCACTACTCATTGGCATGGGAACGGATTCCATCGAGGACGTGTATCCCTATCCCGGGGTGGCAGCAGCTTTCGGTGCTGCCGATGATCTAGGCAAAGACAAGCCAAAACCGCCCGATGATGATGCCCCCGAAGAAGGTCGAGGACGTGTAGTAGACACTGGAGTCCACCAAGCATCCATGCGAAGGTGACGAGGGGAAGCCAAATTGGCCATCGACGAGACACGTTTGGTCATATTGAGAGCTGAAAAGGAGAACATTAAGACAAAAGGTGAGCATGTAATACCAGATAACCGAAATTTCAAAGACCAGACAAGAGACATGGGAGGAAATTGGTTAAAGCTGCGCGACGGCACTCCATTTTTATTTTGCTGAAGGAAGCGGTCACGGAAGGTAGTTGTGTGCCACAGCTTTGCGACAGCTCATACGCATGATATATAGCTGGGTTGGACTCGTAAGCGGTAATGGGGTTCCGAAGATACCTACCTCTTGTGCCTGAGCCCAGTTTGGTCAGTTTTCTTGTAGAAGACAACTGATGGTGCGAGGATTTCGTAGAGCAAAAATGTCGCCGGTGGGATCACTCCAACGGAGATCCATATCATCAGCGTCGATGTTGACACCCCAAGTGTTGTAGATGTACTGGCTGATGCCGGCAAGTAATTCGCCAACCGATGTCGTTTGAAGTTGGCTAGGGTTCAAGAGGCGGGCATAGGTGAACATGGCCATTTCTTCAGGATCTCGGAGGTCAGGCAACGTAAGACAGCTGGTGACAGTCATAGCATCAGAAAATTGTTCTTCCACCAAATGACGAATCTCAGTGATATCGACTAAAATGAGTACACTGCGAATCCGACGAAGGGCTGGTGTGTAGTTCCAACCCAAAGTACGGGTAGGATCATGTGGGCGATCAGGTTCAGGATGACCCCACAAAGGACGAGTTTCATGGGTGTCACGTGAACCAGAACGATCACGAGACATGGTACCGAAACACAAATGGAGTTGGTCCTTTGACTGAGCCAAAAGGAAACATTTCAACCCTTTGAATGAATGTGGAAAGAGACAGGTCAAGGGAAGCAAAGGGCAATACCCAAGTGAAAACCCCAGAAAGGCAGAAGCAAGTTTTTTACCACAGCGATGGCAAGTCACTCGACTGACCATTTAGTCTTCTGCTTCAGGTTCAGTGCGGGAATTCAATTCAGGCCTATTTTGCCTCAACCAAGGCCATCATGCTTTGCAGGCATCTGGATCTTTTTTGAGTCGAAAACCAGTGGTCTTCCACGCGGGTCTGGCTCTGGTATCGCTCTTGTAGCTGATCAGCGCGTGGTCTTCACTGCCGGTCCATGGGCGAAGGCTATGATTGACGGTTGAAGGTGGTGGCAGAGCAGGGTCACTGGTTGACTCCCTGGAACAAGAGGACGTTCCGGGGAAGGAGATGGTCGAGGTCGTCCCGAAGCGGAAGCGACCGGATTTGTTACTGCAGCCGGTGGTGGTCTTGCTTTGGGATTAACTGGCCGACTTCGATGGTCTGAGTCAGACCCATCGGTTGTTGGAACCTCTGTGGGGTGACCCCGAATAGGTGTGAGGGCCGAAGCAGTGATGGTGGTTGGAGTGGATTCGGAGGCAGCGACGTGAACTCGTTGTTTCTTCTTAGGACGGGCCTCAGGATTGACTGGGGGATTGTCTGCGCTCGGATTGGGTGAGGCTTCAAGAGTCGTGGAATCAATTGGTAAATGTGCTGGGTTTGAAGATTCTCCACGACTGGATCTTGAGGGCAGTATTCGATGGGCAAGTGTTTTCAGGAGGACGCATGGACAGGGGACGGACGTTAGGTTCCGGGTTCAAGATCATGTGTGACGGAATGCCCCCATGTGACGCAAGGGTCGGATTGGCCGGTGACGATGGAACTGGCGCGAAAGTATGGAGATGGCGGCCAGCATGGGGAGGACGCGGGGTTGAAAGAGGATACGATGGTGTTCTGCGATATTGATCTGCATGATGAAGCTCCCTGTCTACTGTGGGTTCAAAGAACGGTAAGAATCAGGCAATACAGTTCAGGTGCATGATGGCTCTGGCCTAATGTTAGTGAAGTTCACGGCAGTTTGATGAGTCCATCGTGCACGTAAGACCGAGAAATTGAGGGAAGCGGATTCGAGCCAAAACAACTGAGAGCGCTAGGGCATTTAAGAACCGCAAAGCATGACCGCAAAACTGAGGGGACAAGAACAAGATGCAGCCCACGAACCCGAATGCAGTCACGTAGAACACTTTTGTGAAACAAGTTAGTTGAACATCCTTGTGCAAGCTTCCCCTGTTACCGCTCCAGTGCACTGTAGACTGTGGAATGCGGAAGAGGGTGAGGTGCAAAGTGTGAAGTGTGGAGTGTACAGCGTAGAGTGTGGAGTGTAAAGTGTGGAGTGTAAAGTGTAAAGTGTGGGGTGTGGAGCATAAAGTGAGAAGTGTAAAGTGTGGAGTTTAAAGTGTGGAGTGTAAAGTGTAAAGCGTGGAGTGTGAAGTGTAAAGTGTGGATTGTAGAGTTTGAAGTGTAGAGTGTGGAGTGTAGGGTGTGGAGTTTAAAGTGTAATGTGTGGAGTGTAACGTGTAGAGAGTAAAGTGTGGAGCGTAAAGTGTGGAGTGTAAAGTGTGGAGTGTAAAGTGTAGAGTGTACAGTGTAAAGTGTAGAGTGCAGAGTGTGGCGTGTAATGCGTAGAGTGTAAAGTGTGGAGTGTAGAGTGGGGACTGTAAAGTGTGGAGTGAGGAGTGTAACGTGTAAAGTGTGGAGTGTACAGTGTAGAGTGTAAAGTGCGGAGTGTAAAGTGTAAAGTGTGGAGTGTGGAGTGTGGAGTGGAAAGTGTAGAGTGTGGGGTGTGGAGTGTAAAGTGTGGAGTGAGGGGCGTAAAGTATAAAGTGTGGAGTGTAGGTTGTAAAGTGTAGAATGTAAAGTGTAGACTGTAATGTATAAGTGCAGGGCGTAAACTGTAGAGTGTAAAGCGTGGAGTGGAAAATGAAAAGTGTGGAGTGTGGAGTGTGGAGCATGAAATGACCCTAGATATTTGTATATATATTTATATATATTTATATACGGATAGATAGATATGCATGATTTATTTTTTATATTTGATATATATATTTGTAACCACAGGAGGCAATGACAATATCAAACAAGAGCGATAAACTATATGTGCCCCCCCCAGCGACTTAAATGCGCCCAGGGGCGGGATTATATATTACATGAAGGTACAGGAGTGTGCGTCCACACCCCCTTCCGGCTGAACCGGGTAGCTTCGATGGCATGGCTAGGGAAACAGCTGCCATGCCCCCTGCAATGAAAGGAAGTTTATACATCTATGCAGATGGTTCACACACAATTCTTGCGATATATCTTTTACGCCCAACTCTTTCACATGCAATTCTATTACGCGCAACCCTGTCACTCACAACTCTTCCACACACAGCTTTTTCACACAATCTGTCTTCCGGCATGCCCTTTCTCTTTCCTGCCTCTCCCATCTCATGTCCACATCTGTCGGGTGCTTTTTGGAAGAAGTTGACATGTGGGGTTTTCCGGTCTTGTATTTTTGATCCCCGCGCCCGTATGTTTGCGTTTTTGCGTTATCTCTCACTTCCGGCGTTTTTCCATGTGCATTTGCAATCTTGCATGCTAACATCTGTGCAGCCACATGCCCCTAACGCATGTTCGCACTTCCGGGCCACGTTTTGTCTGGCTATTGGGACGGCTGCTGCAGGATTTCCAATATCTCTTCAAGAGTTTCTACGTCTACCCCAAGGACTGCTGGGATGTGGGATGCCAGGACCAGGCGGATTAAAGCAGGCCAGAGCCGAAAGCCAGCAACAAAATTGGATTGCAATGTGGCCGGTTGATACCTCAGGGCTGCAGGAAACTAGTTTGCTGCCTGCCAATGTGCCAATTACCGGGCTTAGGATTTGTGTAGGGTCGGGTAGGTTTCGATGAGCTTTGACGGCCGGCGGGCACATGACGCAGCAGCGCACACGCAGTTTGCATAGGCCGAAGGGTCAAGGTACTAAGTGCCAAAATGTTCGAGTCCATGAAGTGGTTTGCTGGTCCTTTGGCATGCTTCGATAGGTTTGCATAATTGTTTTCTGACTTGGGCACCTTCCTTCTCCCACATTGTTACATCTTCGGGATCTTTCTTGGTGAAACCAAAGATTTTCGGCTTTTCGCAGGAGATGCCGACGAAGCGCGGAGATTTCAACCTCGGGGGGTCCAAGGAGCCCATCACCCAGCTCGCAACCCCTTCAGATGTTCCGCAACAACCGCGGGCGAAGGCAGAAGATTCAACGAATGCGGAAGCCGGCAGAGCTGAGAAGCCAGCGCGCCCCAGCCCGAAGGCCGAGGACGAGCCTACATGGAACGAAACCCGGCACAAAAGGTCAGGACCTATCATAGCAATAGCAAGCATGGAACCTTTTTGCATTTAAATCTGAAATTAAAACGAAATTTGGCTGCATGTAGTTGGACTTGAATGCAGACGTAGCTTGCATCGCAAAACACATGTTGCCTCAGAAGGGCTTATCTCCAAAAGTGCGGCGGCAAGGAAAAGCATCAGTGCAATCAAACTTGGTGCTGAGACATTTGACCGGCATCGTTCGTCACCAAACCAGGGTTTCACCAGCAGCGAAAAGATGCCATTATCCATACAAAGCAATTTGTTTTTTTGCCCGCTACTGCTGATGTTTCACCTTCAGGGGCCCTAAAAAGGGTTCCTGCGATTTGCGGTATGTTGTTGTCTTAGGCACCACGCAATCCATGCGTGCTACCAGCGGTTGCCGCAAAAGTTTCTACCCTGCATTCTTCTGAAGTGATAGCGCGCTCCGATAACCATATTTTGTAAGTAGTACCTGGGCAAGCCAGCGTTGGAAGTTTTAAAATTCAAAGAAATTATAACCTCTGGAACGAAATAAACAAGATGGAAGCCACGAACCCGAATGTATTCACGTTCTTGGACTACGAGTGCAACCTCTGCAATAGGAAAACGAACCTTTTAATGCATGCATCGTGCGCTCATATCGGTTCACAAAGAGACGACTAACCAGCACAACAACATCACCACCAGCACAACGAAATCACCAGCACAACGAACGCACCAGCGAACATCACCAGCGCAACAAAATTACCAGCACAACGAAATCACCAGCACAACAAAATCACCAGCACAACGAAATCACCAGCACAACAACATCACCAGCGCAACGAAAGCACCAGCACAACGAAATCACCAGCGAACCGCACCAGCGCAACAAAATCACCAAAACAAACGAAATCATTAGCACAACGAAATCACCAGCACAAAGAAATCACCACCAGCACAACAACATCACCAGCACAACGAGATCACAGCCACCTGCCACACTCCACACTTCACCCACTGCGCACTCCACACTCCACACTTTACACTCCACACTCCACACTCTACACTTTAGACTCTACACTTTACACTCTACACTCCACACTCCACACTCGACACTTTCCACTCCACACTCCACACTCTACACTTTACGCTCCACACTTTACACTTTGCACTCCTCACTCGACACTCTACGCTTTCAACTCCACGCTTTCCACTTTACACTTTACACTCCACACTTTACACTCCACACTGCACACTCTACACTTTACACAAAGTTTGCACAAACTACTGCCCAGTACCACTGTCTACTACACAGCTTGCACAAAGTCGACCATCGCAACAAAATCACCAGCACAAACGAAATCACTAGCACAACGAAATCACCAGCACAACAACATCACCAGCACAACAACATCACCAGCACAACGAGATCACCACCACCTGCCACACTCCGCACTTTACCCACTGCCCACTCCACATTCCACACTCCACACTGTACACTTTACACTCCACACTCCACACTCCGCAACAGGCCGCGCTCCACCACACTCTACACTCTACACTCTACCCACACCGCACTCCTCACTCCACACTTTACACTCCACACTCTACACTTCACACTCCACACTTGACACTTTCCACTCCACACTCTACACTTTACACTTTGCACTTTAGCCTCCTCACTCCACACTTTTCACTCCACACTCCACACTTTACACTCCACAGTCTACACTTTAGACTCTACACTTTACACTCTACACTCCACACTTTACACTTTACACTCCACACTTTACACTCCACACTCTACACTCAACACTTTTCACTCCACACCCCACACTCCACCACACTCTGCACTACACGCACCACACTCCTCACTCCACACTCCACACTCCACACTTTCCACTCCACACGCCACACTTTCCACTCCACACTCATTACTTTACACTCCGCACTCCACACTTCACACTCTACACTTTCCACTTCACACTCCACACTCTACACTTTACACTCCACACTCCACACTCTACACTTTACACTCTACACTTTACACTCGACACTCCACACGCCCCACGCTACACTTTACACATTCTACACTCCCCACTCCATACTTTACACTCCACACTCCTTACTCTACACAAAGTTTGCACAAATCACTTCCCAGTACTACTGTGCACTACAAAGCTTGCACTAAGTCGTTCCTAGTACTACGTTGTACTAAAAAAAGCTTGCACAAAGCACGTTCCAGTACTACTTTGTACTACAAAGCTTCAAAGCTTGCACAAAGCACTTCCCATTACCACTGTGTACTACAAAGCTTGCACAAACTACTTCCCAGTACTACTTTGTACTACAAGGCTTGCACAAAGCACTTCCCAGTACTACTTTGTGTTGAAAAGCTTGCACAAACTACTTCCCAGTACTACTGTGTGCTACAAATCTTGCACGAAGCACTTCCCAGTACTACTTTGTACTGCAAAGCTTGCACAAAGGCGCTCCCAGTACTGCTTTGTGCTACAAAGCTTATACAAAGAACTTTTCAGTACTACTTTGTATTACAAAGCTTGCACAAAGCACTTTCCAGTACTATTTTGTACTACAAAGCTTACACAAAGCACTTCCCAGTACTACTTTGTACTACAAAGCTTGCACAAAGCACTTCCTAGTACTACTTTGAACTACGAAGCTTGTACAAAGCACTTCCTAATATTACTTTGTATGATAAAATTTACACAAAGTCGTTCCTAGTAGAACTTTGTACTTCAATGCTTGCACAAATTCGTTCCCACCCAGTATTACTTTGCACTACAAAGCTTGCAGAAGTTACTTTCCAGTAGTACTCTGTGCTACAAAGCTTGTACAAAGCAAGTTCCAATACTACTTTGTACTACAAAGCTTGCACAAAGTACTTCCTAATATTACCTCGTACTACAAAGCGTATCCAAAGCCCTTCCCAGTACGACTTTGCACTACAAAGCTTGCACAAACTACTTCTTAATATTTTTTTTGTATTACAAAGCTTGCACAAAGCACTTCTAAATACTATTGTGTATTATAAAGCTTGCACAAAGCACTTCAAACTACTACTATCTACTATAAAATTTACACAAATTACTTCGCAATACGACTTTGTTCTATAAAGCTTGCTTAAAGCACTTCCCAATACTACTTTGTATTTTAAATCTTGTGCAAAGTCGTTCCTAGTACTACTTTGTATTTTAAATCTTGCACAAAAGCATTCTTAATACTATTTTGTATTATAAAGCTCTTAAAGGCGTTTTTAATATTATTTTGTATTCTAAATTCTGTGCAGAATAATTCTAAGTATTACTAACCAATATTTCTGTTTTTTAAATTTATATATATTATTGCCCAATCTTTTTGTATACTATAAAGTTTGTATAAAGTCTACTGTATAGTACAAAGTTTGTAAATATTTCTTCCTGATATTGTTGTACACTACTTCCCCCGTAGATACGGCGACGTGGGTGCAGCAAAATGAGCGAGGTTTTGCAACTTCCTTTTTAAATATGGCGATGTGGATGGAATAAAATAAGGGAAGTTTTGCCATTTTTCCCATAAATATGACGATATAAATATGGCGATATAAATACGGCGACGTGAGCTTAACAAAACAAGCGAGGCTATTGACGTTTTGCAACTTCCCCCATAAATATGATAACTTGCAGCTTCCCCTAGAGACACGGTGATGCCAGAGGACAAGCAGTAATTGAGGTTTTGCAGCTTCCCCCATAGATACGGTGACGTGAGCGCAGTAAAACGAGCCTTTCCTGAGAAATTTCGTGTAATTCGGATTTTCAATATTTTACTAAATAGGTTAGAAATTATAGAATATTATTTCTATCAAGAAAAACGAAATGAGGGCGGATAACGTAACGACGATAACGCGACCAGCAACAGGAACCGGACAAGGATCCAACCCCTAGATCCCTACATTATAAAGGGGATCCCTTCGTTGCGCATTCGGAAAAAATCTACCCGCAGAATGCGATCATCCCTTTTATGTGTGATAATAATTATTTTTTTCTTTCTATTTTCGTCTTGTTTTATCCGATTTTATTATATTATATCGGATTTTTTCCTGGAAACCCTTCAATATATTTTTTTTTGCCGAAATTTATTTTACTAAATGTGTGTTTTTTGTTAATATTCAATTTTATTTTTTAACTATATTTTTCTTGGTTTTCTTAGCTAATAATATTATGTGTTATTTATTTATTTTTGTGCTTTATTTTTCATGTATGTTAGATATAACAATTAAAATTTATTTTATTTTTTTTATTTAGTACCAGTAGTACCGCACAAGGCGGTGGCGGAAGTTTCAAAAATAGGAAACCTATAGGAGAGATTGGTTGTTGTGAATCAGGGATGGCAGAGCGAAGCCACTGATGGACTGAAAGGTGGTTGAGGCCTCCTCTCTTTCTCTCTCTTTCTCTGACTATCTACCTACCTACCTATCTATGTATGTATTTATCTATCGACCTATCTCTCTCTCTCTCTTTCATCTAAGAACTATCTATCTATCTATCTATCTATCTATCTATCTGTCTATGTGTCTATCTATCTATCTATCTCTCTCTCTCTCTATCTATCTATCTATCTATCTATCTCTCTCTCTCTATCTATCTATCTATCTCCTTCATCTGTCTAGCTGTCTACCTGTCTATTTGTCTATCTATCTATCTGTCTACTTGTCTATCTGTGGTGTAGTGTCATTCAGTGTAATGTAGTGTAGTGTAATGTAGTATGGTGTAATTTAGAGTAGTGTAATTTAGTGTAATGGAGTGTAGTGGAGTCAGTTGTGTAGTTGTAGTTGTAGTGTAGTGGAGTGTATTGTAGTGTAATATAGTGAAGTGTAGTGGAAGGTGGTGTAGTGTAATGTAAAGTAGCGTGTAGTGTAGTGTAATTTGGTGAAGTGTAGTGTAATTTAATGTAGTGGAGTGTATGTAGTGTAGTGGAGTAGTGTAATGTACATTGAGCACGCAGGAGGTGCGTAAACCGATTTCGCCACTTTACGCCACTTCACGCCACTTGAAGTGGCATAAAGTGGCATGCTCACGGTGCCACACGCCACTTGAAGTGGCATGCGCCACTTGAAGTGGCATGAAGTGGCATGAAGTGGCATGCTCACGGTGCGACCGCCACTCGAAGTGGCATGAAGTGGCATGAAGTGGCATGCTCACGGTGCCACACGCCACTTGAAGTGGCATGCGCCACTTGAAGTGGCATGAAGTGGCATGAAGTGGCATGCTCACGGTGCGACCGCCACTTGAAGTGGCATGAAGTGGCATGAAGTGGCATGCTCACGGTGCCACACGCCACTTGAAGTGGCATGCGCCACGTGAAGTGGCATTAAGTGGCATGAAGTGGCATGCTCACGGTGCCACACGCCACTTGAAGTGGCATGAAGTGGCATGAAGTGGCATGCT